AATTCATCTCCCTAATAATCACATTATCTCCTCATACGCCAGAAAATTCAACGCCACGTATGGGGTCTGTCTCACACGCCGGAAGAATCCCACACCACGTGTGAGACCTAATAATCACATAATCTCCCCATACGCAGGAAAATCCAACGCCATGTACGGGGCCTGTCAATACGCCGGAAAATCCAACGCCACGTGAGACCTAACCATCACATAATCTCCCCATACGCCGGAAAATCCAATGTCACGTGAGACCTAACCATCACATAATCTCCCCATATGCCGAAAAATCCAACGCCATGTATGGGGTCTGTCAACACGTCAGAAAATCCAACGTCACGTGTGACCTAACCATCACATAATCTCCTCATACGCCGAAAAATCCAACGCCACGTATGGGGTTTGTCAACACGCCGGAAAATTCAACGTCACGTATGGGGTCTGTCAACACGCTGGAAAATCCAACGCCACGTGTGACCTAACCATCACATAATCTCCCCATACGCTAGAAAATCCAACGCCACATATGGAGTCTGTCAACACGCCGGAAAATCTAACGTCACGTGTGACCTAACCATCACATAATCTCCCCATGTCGGAAAATCCAATGTCACGTGTGACCTAACCATCACATAATCTCCCCATACGCCAGAAAATCCAACGGTTCAAACCTATCGAACCCGGATATCACACAATAGGCAAGATCCGTTCGGGGTTCAAACGGTATGCAAATTGAATTCGAGCACCCCTACGTGCTCGTGAGAACCTGAGGATCACATCGGAACACAATGCCCCTTTTCAACAGAGCCCACGCGCCAGCAGCGCATGGGTGTCCAAAGCGATAACATTTCACCGGAAAAACTCCAAATCGCGACTCAAGACTCCTATCCTAGGTGTAACACCCTATTTGGAACCACTTTTGTTCTTAGACCTACCCCAAAAAACTGACCGGAAATGGCCAGAATCGCGATCCCAAAACCGGCCGAATTCCACTTCGAAATCAAACTGCCTACGCTCAAAATTAATGTAATCCTACCAAACCACCAGCTAGATTATAAAGAATGGATGAATTTCCATACTTTGATTGCCAAAAATGGCGATCGGAGGAGAGAGATCAGAGTCGGCAAACTTCGAGTGAAAATTGGTCTAAAAACCACATTTTCCGTCGGCTGGAGCGGCGGCCGATGTCGAGAAAGGGTCGGGTTGTGATGCCGGGGCTAAGCCGGTCCTTTTGGCACCGGTCCCGTCCGCAACCGTGGCCGGTGGCCGGAGTTTTGAAGAGAGAGAGAAAGGAGCTGCTGTCGGGGAGAGAGAGAGAGAGAGAGAGAGAGAGAGAGAGAGAGAGAGTCCGCAGGAGGAGAGAGGGAGAGAGATAGAAAAATCAGATTTTTATCAAACCCTTTTCACAAAAATTACGATTATGCCACTGATGATATTTTGCTCGTAACTTCTTCGTTACAACTTCGTTTCAAGCCCACTACGTGTCTACGGACTCATCTCGCCATGCTCTACACAACAGCATAGTCGAAATTCTGAAATTCCTTCCCGGTCAAAAAGTCAACTTTAAACCTAATAAAATATTATATAAGCAAAATGGTCTTTTATCTGAATAAATTAATATTTACCAATTTATTTAGGACTGGGTCGTTACATTAGGTGTCTTAAGCCCTTGGGCTTGATACGCAACCATTTGGGCTTCCCGTTAACTATTACTAAGGCCCAAATACAATTTTACACATAGTAAATCCTCCATAAAATCAATCAAATTGATTTCCTCTTTCTGATTTGTATTACTCAAAGTTAACCATTTGATCTATTAGGTTCTAATTAGCAAGGCAGTGGAAAAATATTAGAACTCTTTCTAATCAACTGGAATTAAAACCCCCTTTTAATTCTTCCTTTATATGAATTGATCACAATCAATCCTAGGACTTCCACGAGCCAAGAGTGACATCTAGCAATATATCAAGGCTACCCAAGCTAACCCGAATATATGAAGAACCTATAAAGTTGGAATTGCAATGCAATACAGTCCTTTTCTTATACAATGGTTCAAATCATATTATTAGGATAAGGATTGATTATGTCAAACCCATAACCACATGTGATTCAAAAGAACATGATTAAGAACAACATTCTAAATCAAGCTCAAAATACTTTGACTAAAGTTTGTTGAATCACATCTTGAAATATTCTCCTTCTTTATCGAAGATAGAGATTCATTTTGAACATTCACGTTTGACATAATCTAAGAACTAATTTGCATTATTGCAACTATGAGTTCTCGTTTGATATGTAGATAAAACTCCATACGAGAACTATAGTTGATCGTGTTCAATGTACTCATTCTCTAATGAGTACCTATATACTTGTATTAGTGTCAACTACACAAATGGTTTGAGACTAACCATCCTTCTTATTGAGCATACATAATATGTGCTAATCTTGATTGTTTATCAATGCCCATTTGATAATCCTATGATTAGGAATATTTTGGGATACTATAGTTAGAGATCAAAGGTCTCTTGAATCTAATCTTCTTTATATTACTTCATCTCTTATTTAGTATTCCCCGGACTTTGTTTCTTTAACCGATGTAAAAGATAACAAAATAAGTTTGCCCTTTATACATCATATACAAAATGTATTCTTTACATCATCTTATGGCACATTTTAAACAAAATTTACCTTACATACAAAACCTAATTGCAAATCCCAAACCCTTCAAAAATCCCCAAATTTCAATAACGACAAATTGAGGGATGAAAATTGTAAGATTCCTACAATATATATGACCCACCAATAAAATTAATTGTACAAGTTGAAGGGCTGCTTCGTGAAGTGGGGTAGGCTACATGGTGGGCCTAAGGTGGGCTACATGTGACTTTGGGCAAAAAAAAAAAAAAAAAAACAAACCGCTGGCTTAGGGGTGCAAGTTGGATTGGAAAATTTGATTCCAACCAATTCTAATCCAAAAAATTTCTATTTTGGCAAGTCCAAATCAATTCCGACATCCAAAAATTCTAATAAAAATTGGATTGGAATTAGAATATATCTCAAGATTCCGAAAAATTCTGAATTTCGAAATATATTGGGGTTTCAAGCTTAGACTACACACAAAACAAATAGGAGTCAACTTTCTCAACTTTTCTCTTTGTTCTCTCTCATCTTTTTAGGTTTTCTACCTCTCTATTTGAGAGTGTCCTCACCTATTGTTGGTGATTTTTCTTGGGCTTTAGGCTCATTTGCGGAGGTTCTTATTCTCCTTCGTACTTACCCACTATTGTTTTCCTCTTTTTGCCCCATATCCTCTTCCTTTCCATGTTACACAATTCTGTTCTTGGATCACTCCCTGCTCGGCTTGACTTCCTACAACCTCCTCAACTCTACTGTGTCATCCTCTTCAGATCCATGGCTCCATGTTCGCTACTGATGCAGTTTGACTTTGGGATCTCCCTAAAGCACAGTTGTCGCTTATTGATTGATTGTTAGAGGACATCATCTTCTTCCCCTGCAGACCGCTCTTCGAGTTCCTCTGTTCTTTGTTCTTGGTGTTGTCTTAATTATGGGGATGCTAGGTTTCTCCAATGTTGTTGGGGCTGGGTGCATCTCCTTCCTTGTGGCAGTTAGGGTTTCCTGGTCTTTGTTTTATTGTTTGATAGGGCTTGTTTGTTGTTTTTGTTAGGCTTTTGGCTTTTGATGTTCTTCTCTTATTTGTTAGATCTTGTATATTATGTGTGGATGGGCCCTTTGCAAAGGGATTATGTTTGTGATCCTTTTTTCTTGGGCTTTTTACCATAATTTCCTTATCTAATGAATTTCAAGACTATGAAAAAAAAAAAAAAAAAAAAAAAAAAAAAAAAAAAAAAAAAAAAAAAAAGCTTACACACACATTTCTAATTTCATGTTGAACTAAATATAATTTGATGACCAAATAGATATATAATAGTTTTCCAAGCTTACAGTATGAGTTTTCAATTTTGAGTCAAATTTAATCCTTCAAATTGGTTGGGCATGTTTAGAATTTTGAACTACTTTCGGAAATTTTCAAAAAAAATCCAAAATATGTAAATTCTGAAAATTTTAGAAAATTCAGAGTTTTCCGAATTGGAATGGAAATTGAAATTCCGAAATTTTTTGAAACAAAATTGGAATAGAATTTCCGTTCCGAATCTTTTTGAATTGGAATTAGAATCTCATGATTCTGATATGATCCATCCGAAAATCAGCCTTACCGGTGTTATAGCCCAGATTAGTCTCTAGTGGCGGAGCCAGGAATGTATGCGTTGGGGGGCCAACATATAAACCAAACAAGACATTAAAAAAATTCAAATTTTCAACCTTAACAATGTTTGGAAAAATTAAAGGCAAAAAATAATTGTTTATTCAATTAGGCATCAAAATAACACTCGTCGTTCTTTCATATCTCGAAAACCATCTATAATTGAGTCAATGCTAAACTTTTCTGGAATTTCCCTTTCGATGTACATAATCAAAGAGTCTGTGAGAAATTCGTCTTCCATCTTGTTACGAAGCCTAGTTTTTAATATACGCATAGCAAAAAATGATCGCTCTGCGGTTGTTGTAGAAACAGGAAGAGTAAGCACAAGAACAACCACTCTATAAACAAGTGGATGTGTCGTTGATCTTCTAGTCATTACCATCCATTGAGATATATCAGAAATTGTTGACAAGTTTTTGAACTTTGGAAGTCTAACGACGTCATTCTCAAAATGTTGAAGTTGTCTTCTTAAACCTATCTTCTCATGATCTTAAAAGTCTTGCGGATAGAACTTATCTACCAATTGACAAATATCATCAATTCTAAAAGATTTATTCACTTCACGAGGATCCAAAGCCGACCCCAAAATAAGCAGCTCTGTTGTTTGATCACTAAATCTGTTATTTAATTCTTGAAGTTGAGAATCTATTGCAGCATATAAAATATCTATCATGTAATAATGCTTAATCGTAAAATCATCTTGTTGATGGCGAGCTCGACCTCATCTTGCAACATAACGAGCATTCATGTCTAGGATATCTATGTTCCGTGCTTCACAAAAAGAATTCACCTTGGTAAGCGAAGAATCCCATCCATCATCTCTTAATTCTTGGATGAGTGCTTTGGTGGAAGAAACAAGATTCATGGCATTTATGATGTATTGGGATTGACATTGCAAAGCTTGACAAAGATCATTAGTGATCTCCATAAGTTCTTTCATAAGATGTAAGATAAAGACAAATTCATATGAAGTCATTGCCACATAAGTTGCATCAGCATCTCCTTGTTGAGAATAAGTAGTTACGTTATCAATTATATAAATTAGAATTGTGCATGTTGCACTAAACATATTTACCAAGCTAGTAATTGATTTCAAATGAGAATCCCAACGAGTATCACCAGCACGTTGTAAGGTGCCAATTTGGTTCATTCCTTTCCCAATCTCAAGCTCATCAATTGCAATCATGTGCTCAATTTCAGCAGCTTGAGCATTTTTTAGTTCATTATTATGCTTGCATGAAGCACCAACATTATTGACAATAGAAGTCAATTTAGTGAAAAAGTGGTGAACATGAATAACTTCTCTTGATGATGCAATTAATGCCAATTGTAATCGATGTGCTAAACAATGAACATAGTAAGCATATGAGCAATCATTCAAAATCAAAGCTTGTAACCCATTCCATTCACCTCGCATGTTACTTGCACCATCGTATCTTTGTCCTCTAATATTTTGAATATTTAGTGAATTATGAGACAATATAGAGTAGATACCTTTTTTCAGAGTTAATGCCTCAGTGTCTGACACATGAACAAGCCCAAAAAAGCGCCCCTAAATAAGACCTTCTTTGTCAACAAATCGCAACACTATAGCCATTTGCTCTCTCTTGGATTCATCACACGCTTCATCAACAATTATACAAAACTTTGATTCCCCAATTTCTTCACAGATTTCTTTCTTCACTTTAGTTGAAAAAACATGTAAAATTTCTTTTGGATCTGTGGTGATGTGTAAGAGGCATTTTTGGGAGCTTTATCTAAGATAACACCAGCAATTTTTTCATTATATGCAGCCAATATTTCTAACATTTGAAGAAAATTTCCACGATTGATTGAATTATTTTTTTCATCATGGCCTCTAAAAGCACATCCTTGGAATGCAAGCCACATGATTGCTTCAATTGTTGCCTTAAGTCGTAGTCAATTGTCTGCAATTTGTTGGGAAGAATAATTCTGAATGACTTTCTGTATATGCTGGGATTGATTCATCAAATCCAAACATGATATTTCAGCAGTCTTCTGAGGGGAGTTAGGATCTTTCCCCTTGTGATTTAGAAAAGAACAATTTTTTCCATCTCTAACTTTCTTCCAATTTTGAAATCCATCAAGAGTGAAAGCATTTTTCCCAAAATGTCCAGATGGTTTGTTAAAAAGATAGCACGGTAAACAAAAAGCTGCATTTTCTCTACTTAGGTCCATTCGAATACGGCCATGACTTTTGTCATCAATAGAGTCAAGGACGCTTCTACGCCATCCCCATATCTGATAATTAGCTTTTGTCATCAATCGAGTTCTTGGTTATTAACTAATTCGTCAATCAAGTTTGAGGTTGTGGTTATCTGAGACTGCAAGCGGCTCCATATTGCTTTCAATTATGGCCATTATGTCTTCTTCTCTCAAAGCAGATAGCGTTGCATGCAAGTATTTGGTGCTGGCGTGGTCTCTACTTTGTCAGTAGAAAACGTTGCATACAAAAGTTGTAGCCAGACTTCTTCTACATTGGGATTTACTTATATATGTGTTTGTGTAACTATTTCTGCATCGTACGTTTTCAACCTCATTCAGGGTCTCGAGCATTAATCTAATACCATGATAACAATCAGTCTGGCACTAGGTACAACTTAAGCTTGGCGGCACAGCGGTTGAGCACAGGACCAAATAAGGGAAAAAAAACATTTAACTTAATGAAAGGCACTCGTTTTCTATTTTATTTTTGGTACAATGGGATCATCGAAGATCCATTATTAAGAAAGACAAAAAAATTCAGTATGACCGTAACTCTGCTACATGGTGTTATCAATACACCTATGTTATAACAAGTTTTTATTTATTAATACTATACCTTAAAATATACACCCGTCTTTTTCTTTTGTATGTAGCAATTAAATGACAGTCGGATTCACAGAAGCATACGCAAGCAGCTCCTTATTGGTTTCGAATACGGCCATGGTTTCTTCCTTGAAAGTCAAGGACACTTCGATCCCAACCCCATCTCTTGTATCCATCAATACAATTAGATTCTTCAGTCCTGTACTCTGGCACACCCACAATGGCTTTCCCCATCCGAAGTTGGTTTCATAGAAAGGAAACCTGCCCCAACTGCTGCAGTTATAGTTGTCTACATCCCTTGTCATGAGGTTCCCAAACTCTCTAAAGAATTGACATGCTTCCTCCACACTAACTCCATTTCCATATTTTATTTTAAATTCCTCAACCCCTTTCCTCAATTTGGCAACCAAGCTTTGAACATCAATGTCTACTACTTCACTTGCCACGGTTCTCACTGAAAAGAGCCCCACAAGATTTCCCATTAAGTCATATGCCAATGGCTGCTGCACCAATATTTTCCGTATGTTCACCACGGAAGACCACTCGGATGCTCTTACAACACCCGAGTTTGATAATCGAGATGTTTCCATGGCACACTTCCAAATGAGCGCTGACACTGCTTCAACGCGCGTTGGATTTGGCGCGGTGGCACTGGCAGCTCTGGACTTTAGAGCAGCAATCTTTGAGGCATGAAACACAAATCTCTTTGTTATGCACTTTTCTTCAGCAAACTCCAACGCAGGTTGAGGTGAGTTCAAGAAATCCAGTTGTGGGAAAAGAGTAGCTGCAGCGCCAAATTTCTTGGGAAGCAGGGCATGATGATCAGTAGTAGTGGAGCCCATTAGGGCAATATCAGCCCAGCTTTTAATGAATCTGCTGAGTGTGTAGGCATCGGTGATGATATGTGAACTGCTGACACCAATTGCCAACCCACCGCATTCAAAGAAGTTGGCCTGGACTAGTAGAAGATAGCCTGTGTCTGCTTGTGTAGATCCTATACCAGTTGGAAGCAATTTTCTAAGGATCCCAAAATCAGGTTCGTCTAAAATCGTTGATATGGGGCAGTTCACTCGAGCTTCAAAAAATGCAGCCCCATGATCATTGCAAGAAATTGAAACATTATATTCGAATTCGCCTGCAAAGGGGTAGAAGTGAGTTAGTGTTTCAGATAATGATGTCTTCAGAATCTTGGATCTTTCCGCAATGGAAGAATGGTGATCAATATTATTGGCCTCATCATCTCTACTATTTTTGGGGTAGAAGAGAAGTAGTGGTATATAAACATCAGGAGAAAGCTGATCAAAAACAGAGAGGTTGGTATTTTGAAGATGTGAAGGAGTTGGGGAGGATGGTTTAATTGTTTCCTTGTGAGTGACTTCAACCTTCATCTCTGAAACCATGATGTTGTTCCAGGCTTGAGTTTCTTAACGAACACCTATCACCTTCATATATATTATCTAAATTGCATGTGGTATGCCATGCATATGCGCTACCATCCGACATTAAAGAAACTTCCTGTAGAAATCTTCAAGGATATATAATACTAATTAGTCAACTTTGAAAGCCACAAAAGCTTAATATAAGGACAACAACATGTTCTGTACAGCTCCTGTGAAATCAAGTCAATTTGTCATTAATTTATATGTTTATTGATATATTAATAGTTAGCTAAACTAGGAAAAGCATGCTGTGCTTCTGAAGTCAGCCAATTGCACCTACCCAATGTACATTTATTTGCGATGATCTAGATGAATTTAGTATATGAATTTGTTATAAAGTTGAATTCATTTAGTTTTCTGGGGCATTATTTTGATTCTTGGATTTCGATTTTGGTCTCTTTTCTTTTTTGTTAGGTACATTACTGTGAAATATATACATATATAATGTACCTATTAATAATATATACACATAGCTACAGTATTGTAGCTATGTGTATATTCGTGATACTATATCTAATTAAATGACCAAATTCAAAGTCCAATCTAAGGCAAAATCATCAATTCTAAAGATGATATTCTAAGCAAAGGACCTACTAGTGTAGTGGATTGGAGCAATTGCTTCTCCAGGAAAGGTCCTGGGTTTGAGTTCTAGCATTCATATAGTGTGTGTGAGTTTATTATTTTATCGCCAATTTCAATAGGAAAGATCCTAAAAGAGAAGAAGATATTCTAATTTTCTTTTGATTTTTTATTCAACGAATTCATGTAGTTTATTCATTTCTTTTCCTCGTAGTCATTTACAATCTTAGTATACTTATTAACATCCTTCACATCTCAAATTGGAAGTCATGCAATATTTCAAAGTAGAAAATGTCATGCGGGATGTCCAACGATCCCCCATTTCAATGCCGTGACAGAGTAATTCAGCTCGCATTAATTGGTTATTTTGTTTCGGCTCCTACCAATTTCTTCACCTTATGCATTATGCATGCATTGTTTGTGTGTGTCAAAATTGTACCAATAGTCATACAAAGAAAATATATATAAGATCAAAATCACAACACAACGTTCATGTGACTCACCTTGACGATTAGAGGGTAAGGGAGATTCACCATTATACCCAATATATGGACCCAAATTATAAAAAAACCAAACATGAAATAGACTTTAGAAATACATCCAAAGCACATTTACAACATAACAAAGAGGCTTTGAAATTCCTATAAATTACAAAACTAAAATCGATTTCTTAAAACAAGCCAAACCCCAAAACTTCATAATAAAAAACCCCAAAACACTTTATACAGCATCAAAATAATTTAATAATCAAAATTAAGGGCCAGCTATCATTTTTTTTATTTTTTTTGTTTGTTTATAAAAATAAAATGGTGTATAGTTTATCTATGCTAGTGCTAAAAATGGATATATAACTAAATATATCTAAAGGGTAATTATTCGTTTACTTTTTTTTAATTAATTAGAATATAAATTGGCCTCTTGTAATGGAAAAGAGGCAGAAATCTCAAAAAAATCCAGTCGAACACTTACAAAAAGGCCCTTTTTGTTCTCTTATTTTTTGGGCTTACTCATAGGAAGCCCTTTATTCTTGGCGCCCTACGCAACTCTGTCCTGCTTGATCCTGATGCGTTTGATACCATTATCATGTCATGACCAAGAAAATGATTGTTCATAAATAAGGCTCTCTACAATCTTTGGAGCATCAATCAAACATAAATCCTGATGCGTTAGTTATAACAGTTTTCTTTGATACCAGAATTCACGTCGCCACCGGCAGTTGGTGGTGTGTTTAGGAAATCTACTGGAGGGAAATGAGAAGCTGCAACACCAAATTCTACAAGAGGCACCACATGCCATATTTAAAAATAAAAGGTCACGCCATATTTCAAAATTGAAAAGTCATATCCCATTCAAAATCATTTTGGATATTCAATGCTTTTGAAAAGGTTAATTTGACATATCCAAATATGCTACATTTCAATGGCCTGACAAAGTAATTTAGCTCCCATTGGTTATTTTGTTTCTTCTCCTGCTACTTTCCTCACACCTTCGTTTTTATGTCAAAACTGTGCCAATATAGTCAAACAAGAAAAATATAATATCAAAATCACATACACAACACACGAAGTATTCATATGATTCACCTTAAATTGAGTAACGCAGGATAAAGTTGCGTCAAGTTTTCACATATGTTTTACAATAATAACAAGAAACCCATATTGAGTGACGTGGAAGCACATATGGTCGTTGGGCTCAACATGTGAAGCTTTGCTATAATAGCATGAAGGAAGTTGAGGTTCCACCCCAAAACCAATTCGCTATAGGAGGAGTAACTCAACTCCTTATATATTCAGAAAAGTTGAAGCACTCTGACTTTTTTATTTTTTTTGATCAAATAGAAAGATTCATTCAACCGTAGCACCAACCAACGATAACAATTTACAAACGAATTAAGAGCGTTAGTGTGGCATCATTAAAACCTTGCCATCCAAAACCCCCAATGGGGGAAAATCTGGTCAAGGAAAAAGAGTACCACCACATCTCAAAAAACAAACAATGAACTACACCATAGCTATATCTTTATCGAAAAGAATGCTCAACCATGGAGGAGCACGGTCTTTCCAAAAAAGTCGAGATCTCACTCTCAACCCATGCTGGGCTAATAGACAATGTGCCACCCCATTACCTTTCCAGTGTTGGTAGAACACTCCAGCCACCTCTCGATCAACCATTAACCGACGAACATCCTCCCACCACATTACAAATATTACTCCACCAATCCAACCCATCTTTAAGAATAGAAACAGCTTCTTGAGAATCAATACCAATGGTAAACCGAGTAAAACCCATGTATCCCATCATCAATAAACCTTCTCGGACAGCCACCAACTCAGTGCCCTAAACCTATAATTTTTTTTAATTTTAATTTAAGTAGAAAGTGAGTAAACAAGCATCAAAAGAATGAGAGATCATCAATGGCCCAGCAACATTCATCTAAGTAAGCTCAAGAGGACCTTTTAAAAATAAAAATTATGGGGCTACTAAAATACAGTCGGATTCAAAGTTGCATATTGACGCAGAGCTCCTCATTGCTTGCAAATATGGCCAGGTCTTCTTCCTTGAAAGTTAAGGAGGCTTCAATTCCATGGCCATCTCTTGCATCCAGCAATACAGTAAGGTTCTTCTGATCTGTACTAGGGATGAAGACCCATGCTGGCTTTCCCCATCCAAAATTCGATTCATATAACGGAAATCTGCACCAACTGCTGCAAGTATAGCTGTCTATATCATCTCTCTTCATAAGGTTCACATTCTCCATGAAGTCTTGACAAAAATCCCCCCCATTAGATCCATTACTATACCTTTCTTTGAACTCCTCCAGTCCCTTCCTCAATTTAGTAACCAAGCTTTGAAGATCATCATGATCTGCTTCACTTTCTTTTGTCTGTGCTCGTGACGGTTCTGTTGCAAAACCATGTGCCGGGGTTGCAGGTTAGGCATGAGAATGAGTGGCTGGATGTGAAGTCTGTGCCTGGTGGTTTGATCATTAACGTTGGAGATTTTCTTCAGGTAAATTCAACTCTAAATCTAATATTTTGATTAGATTTTAATTGATAGTCTAACAACATAACATCCATAACATTTCAAACTCTAATACACCGATGCGGCATGTGGATCTAGTGTGGGGTTATAATTTGGTTGGATTCAATAGATTTGCATTGTCATTTCGTACGTACGGTATAGGATACACACCATTATTTTATTTTATTTTTTTCCTGTTATTACTTTTTTGAAAATAATTTGATATGCAAGTTAGGTGGAGGATCGATAGCCGACATTACAGAATAATAACAAGCGGTCTCTTTCTTATTGAAAGTGATAATAATAAACGTTTAAACTTTTGTTTTGTTCTGTTATTTCAATAAAACATAAAGGTAGGTGAAGGTGAAGGGAGTATCTTGAGACCAAATCTTACCTTGTTGTTAAAATAATAAGTAAAATTAGACTCTGTGTGTTTGTGGTGAGACTGCAGATAATCTCAAATGGGGAGTATAAAAGTGTGCAGTCTTCAGTCTCAGATGTTGGGAGCAGTTGGAACTAGTAAGAAACCAGCTCTTCATCGGACATTCAAATTGAGAAAATGGATTATAATACCACTTAATGACGACCACCAAAGAGAAAACATTTCCCTCAGTTTTCTTTCGGGCATCAACATAAACCGAAAGGGAAATGTAATTTTCACTACATCTAAACCATCGAACATCCCAAGTCTTAAACACGACTGAATAAAGACTTGACATTTCCTTTTCAATTAGGTAGGTTATGACATTAGAAATTTAACAATGCCATCACACAAAGCTAGCTGCATTCACATCACACAAAGCTCGACCGAAAGGAAAATTCAAGCAGCATCTGGAAACCAGATAACAAGGCAAATATAAACCAAGAGACCAAAATTATCCCAAAATTCATATATCTTAATATAAACTGCACTTGTTTAACTCCGTATCCCAGGATCCGTATGCCCAGCTATTGATGAATTGGGAGATTGTGGAAGCATCCCCTACCTTATGCGGAAAGTGGACTCCGATTGCCAATCCACCGCATTCAAAAAAACTTGCCTGAACTAGTAGAAGATAGCCTACATAATGAGTTGGACTTGGAAGAAATTGCCACAGCAACCCAAGATCTGGTTTGACCAAAATCTTCGATATGGGACAGTTTACTCGGGCTTCAAGATATGTGGCGCCCTGGTCATTGCAAGAGATTGAAATATTATTTTGGAACGTTCCCGCTAAGGGATAGAACTGAGTGAGGGCTTCAGATAAGGATGCTTTTTCAGAAGCTTGGATCTCTCAGAAATTAAAGAATGAAGATCAATCTTATTATTGAGCACATCATAAGTAATATTGTTGCTGGGATAGAAGAAAAGTTGCGGGACATAAGCATCTGGAATAATCTGATCAAAAACAGAAAGCTTAGTAGTTTGAAGTGATGAGGAGTTGGAGAGGATGATCTAAGTTTTTCTTCCCCAATGACTTCAACTTTCAACTCCGAAGCCATGATTTTTGCTCCACACTTGTGTTGTGTATCATAACAACACAACAAATCTTCCATAAAATACACAGATTCACCTACAACAACAGCTCATGTGCAATTCAAGTTAGTTTATTAGTCAACATTCTTATAAATGTATATACTAATTATCAAAACTCAGGAAACGTGGGTTAAGCCAAGCAGCCAGGGCGGTGAGTCCTCTCTGTGTACAATTTATTTTCTTCTTTTTGCTGGGTACAGTGAATTAATCCATCACATTCCAAGCTATAAAAGTCATGTCCTTCAAAATCATGAAAGTTCTCCCTGGCTGCTCTTATGATTTGAAAAGGTAATTTTGTAACATCCATCTATGCCGTATGGTGAAGTCAATGGCGTGGCAGCAGTTTAGTTCTCATTGATTCTTTTGTTTCGGGTCCTACTAATTCTTGTCTTGGCTGCGAACTTCCCTTATGTCATGCATGACTCATGATGCATGGTCATGTCAAAAAATCTTGGCCAAGAATCAAATAGAAAATATGAGATCAAAATCCAAGCCAGAACACGAAATACTTATGTTGTTGGGTTTGTTCGGTTTAGAATAAATCAATTAGATCGCAGAATGTGGACCAATTATATCCAATGCACAATGTGAAGGATAGATTGATACTGAAAACCCAAAATTGAGTCCTGCAAGGTGGTGGTTGAGAAAGACCCAATTGTCTAGGTGGACCCAAAAACAATGTAAGTCCATGTGCATTTTGTAATAGAGAGGAATTGGAGGCCCAACGTCCAGGTCCTCATGACAAGGTTTTGACATTGTATGGTATTTCTATATTTTGGGCCGTATTTATGGGCATACATTTAAACTATTAGTGAAGCTGCATAATGAAATCCAATTCAATAATGAGAGGCAAATCAAAATGTAATAAATGAAAGCACAAGTTTTTCATTTTATATTTGGTTCAAACTTCAGTGTACAAGCATCAAAACAATGAGAGATCATCCGAAGTTAAGTAAACACGAGAGGAGGTTTTTTTTTTTTTTTTTTTTTTTTTTTTTTTTTGGGTGGGACTAACTAAAATAACATGGATTCAAAGATGCGTATTCAAGCACCTCCTTGTTGTTTTCAAATTTGGTCATGTCTTCTTCCTTCAAAGTTAAGGACGCTTCTAAGCCATCACCATCTTTTGTATCCATCAATACAATTAAATTCTTGGAATCTACATTAGGGGTGACAACCCATGATGGCTTTCCCCATCCGAAATTGGATGTGTAGAAGGGAAACCTGCACCAACTGGAGCAACTGTAGCTGTCTATATCATCCCTTATGATGAGGTTCACAACCTCCTTGAAAAGTTGACATAAACCCTCCCCACTAACTCCGTTTCTATAGTTGTCTTTAAATTCCTCAATTCCCTTCCTCAATATAGTAACCAAGCTTTGAAGATCATGATCATCTACTTCAACAATTTCTTCCCTCTGTCCTGCAACCAAACCGAAAACATTCCCCAGTAAGTCTTTACCTGCCAAGACGCTAACAAGTACTTTCCTCATGTTCACCGTTTGACACCACGCAGAGGGCATTACCGACTCCAAGTTTGATCTTGATGCTTCAGCTGCACACTTCCAAATGAGTGCGGAGACGACTTCAACACGCGTAGGATTTGGCACAGTGGTAGTGGCAGCTTTGGACTTGAGAGCAGCAATCTTTGAGGCATCAAACACAAATCTCCTTGTTATGCACTTTTCTTTGATACCGGAGTTTGCGCTGCCACTACTAGGCGTTTGCGGTGCGTTTAGGAAATCTAGTGGTGGGAAAAGAGAAGCTGCAACACCAAATTCTGCAGGAGGCACCACATGGTCTGTAGTACTGGCTAAGCCAAGTGCTATTGCAGCCCAGCTGTTAATGAATTTGCTCAGGGTAGAAGCATCTGCGACCTTATGTGAAATGTTGACTCCGATTGCTAATCCACCACACTCAAAGAAGTTGGCCTGGACTTGTAGAAGATAGCTTGTATGACCAGATGGAAGCAGTTTCCATAGCATCCCAAGATCTGGTCTGTCCAAAATCATTGAAACGGGGCAGTTGACTTGGGCCTCAAGAAATGCAGCCCCATGGTCATTGCAACTGATTGAAATATTATCTTGGAATTCCCCTGCAAAAGGATAGAAGTGAGTGAGGGCTTCGCGTAAGGATTTCTTTAGAAGCTTGGATCTTTCAACAACCAAAGAACGGTGATGATCAATATCGTTGACCTCATCACTGCTAGTGCTGGGATAGAAGAGAAGTAGTGGGATATAAATTTGAGGAATAAGCTGGTCGAAAACAGAGAGGTTGACAGTTTTAAGATGGTGAGGAGTTGCAGAGGATGGTTTAATTGTTTCCTTGTGAGTTACTTCAACCTTTAGCTCTGAAGCCATAATCTTTCTCCACACTTAAAAGTTTCAAAGCAAAAATCACCCCCATATAAAGGCACACACATTCACCACACAACAACAGCTCCTGTCGAATAAAATAAAAAAACTTTGTTCAGTTCTTTTATATCTGTATGTATTCAATCATTTCACATTATAATATCCTTCAATCATTCAAACCCCTTCCAGATCAAGCCGGCCAGGCCTCAATTTTGGTGGCCAGGGCAATAACTTAAAATGGGGCCCTTTTTAGCAACAAAAAAAAACAGAGGAAGGAACAAACAAATTTTGCACATGTATTCTTTATGGCATAAAAATCAGTTTGGACTATTATGGCTGTAATAGACTAAATACTTCAATGCATCATGATTCATGTCTACCATCTTCATTTTAAAATCTCTACATAGTCCAAAACAAAATGGTCAGCTTCACTGGTATATTCATATAAAAATAAAGCACGCCTTATTTAAAATCTCTACCGATCAATTTGTTTCTGTCTTCCCTACGTACATCCATCACCTGATCGTTTGTCTTGTTGGCACAATTGCCTACTCGACAAGTAATATTAATCTCTCAACTGGTAAGTGAAAAACCAAAACGTAAAAACATGGGTTCTGATGGGCAGCCAAAGCTCCCTGTCTTAGATTTCTCTAAGGAAACTGAAGCTCTGAAGCCTGGCACCAACTCATGGCTATCGGCATGCAAAGATGTTCGACAAGCACTTGAAGAGTTTGGCTGTTTTTTCGTATCGTATGACAAACTCCCTCCGGAGTTTCAAAATGGTTTTTTGGGTGCTCTACAAGAATTATTTGATCTCCCTACTCAGACCAAAATGACAAACAAATCTGAAAATCCCTCAAGTGGGTATTTTGGACAAATTCCCAGCCTTCCTCTCCATGAAGGCTTGGGCATTGAGAATGCAACAAATTTGGAGGAGACTCAAAAGTTCACAAAGCTCATGTGGCCTGGTGGAAATGATAATTTCTGGTAATATCTTCTAACTCCCTTGTAATTTTGAGTGACCATATGAAGTCCGTATACATTGCTAATTGTTTGCAAACTCTTTTTCTTTTTCGTTTTTTGGTGGTAATTAAGTGAAAGTGCACATTCGTTTGCAAAAGTGGCAGAGGAGTTGGACCAAATGGTGACTAGAATGATATTTGAGAGCTATGGTATGGAGAAGTATTATGACTCCTATGTTGGGTCCGTCTCCTATCTTCTTCGACTCTTGAAAAATAGAACACCCCAAGAAAATGAGCCTAGCCTTGGCTTCGTGGCTCATACTGACAAGAGCTTCACAACCCTACTTTATCAGAATAACCAAGCCCATGGTCTGGAGGTTGAAACTAAAAGCCACGAATGGATTAGGGCTGAGTTTCCACCTTCATCCTTTCTAGTCATGGCCGGTGATGCACTAATGGTAGGTCATCGATAATTATATTTTTTATTTTGGATATACATGTATATGTATAATGATAGAATCTAGGAAAGTAAGTGATCCATGTACTTAATCAAGATCACATCAACCACCTATACTTTTTCGGTATGTTATATTGTCAGATTGTAAAGCTGAACATTCAACAATATTTGTGTTCAAATGTGCGGTTTTTTTTAATATAAAAAATATTTCATATTACAGACCATCTTATGGTTTTTAATGTTGGTTTGTTTGTTTAGGCATGGAGCAATGATAGAATATTATCTCCCAACCATCGAGTTATTATGAGTGGGAATGAAGCAAGATACTCTCTGGCGCAATTTGCATTTAGTGACGGCGAGATACATGTGCCGGAAGAGCTTGCTGATGAACAACACCCCTTACGCTACAAGTCATTTGATCATCCTGGACTGCTAGTCTTCTTTCGCACTAATGAGAGCTATATTTCAAACAGTGCTATAAAAGCCTATTGTGGTGTTTGAAATAAACCTTGTAGCTAATAAGAATGTTTGCTACGCTTGCGTGTGCTGTGTGTTAATTTCAAGGCTTGGTTGTGGGTTCTTTAATTGGTCAATCTGTTTCTGCTATGTTACCTTCATTTTACTGATCATGTGAAAATAAAAACTATGAATAGATTGTACAAGCTTCTTAAGCTTCTCATGTTGTATGTTAATTGTCCATTTACAGATCTAAAGTACTGAAAGTCTTACTGTCTTATCAAATCATGTTATGTGGTAACGTTCACTCCATTTTATACAATCAAATAGTGGACGGCAAAACATTGGGCCGATCCGGCCAAACAAAACCAAACTAATTTGAGCAGTTTAGTTTTATTTTTATATTAAAACAATATCATTTCAGACTGAATCGAACCAAATCGCCATTATTTTGGTTTTGTTTGGTTTGGCATATTTGGAAATTGCCCAATCTTATCACTATTTCCTATCATATATGATCTCACACATTGATATGATATCCATCATTTAATAACAAAAACTAAAATCTCTAACCCATTTGAAGTTGACGATATCTCTCTCTCAACATTTCTCAACGGTTAGTAGGTTTCTCAAATATTGGTTAATCTATGGTATGAATCCCTACTTATATATTGTTTAGGAAGGGAAATGGGTTTTATTTGTATTGTTATGGCTTGGTTTTTTTAAGCTTTTATCTCTTTTTGATTATTCTGAATTTGCAATCTTAGTTGGGATGTCTAGGCCAAAGTTTCTTCAATTCTGCGTGATCGTTAGTGGAGGTGCACTAGATTGTCTTAATTTTGATGTTAGACCACTCCGTTATTGTAATGACCCTTTGTGGCTCGTGACTTTTTTGGCTGAATTATGAATGCAATCCTAGAATTTTTATAAATAAATCAAAGAAGGGAAATGGCAAAATCATTTTTGTCACTGAATAGATTGGTTTGAGGCCAACCAATGCAAACGGTGATAGTGCTTTGGTTCATTATGTGGTTTGAGACCTTAAACAAACCAAATCGTTGTGTGCCCGCACCTAAAAAACTACTAGTTTGATTGATAGTTTTATAATCAGTGGTCCTTAGAAGGGTGTAACATCTCAATCTATACAATAACCAAACGTCACCCTTTAAAATTATATAATTATTTTATATTTCTTATATATAGATCATGGTTGATCATCTATCATTATTGAGATTTGTTGCATGTTAAGGTTGGTATTTATCCCATACAACCTCATACTGTTTGTTGAAAAGATCATCAGTCCCAAAATTCGACCTTACTGAAAGCTAGTCCCTAGGGGGATTGCAATACTGGATGGTGACGAATAAGAATGTTTGCTACGCTTGCGTGTGCTGTGTGTTAATTTCAAGGCTTGTTGGTTGTGGGTTTTTTAATTGTACAATCTGTTTCTGCTATGTTACCTTCATTTTACTGATATTCATGTGAAAATAAAAACTATAAATGGATTGTACAAGCTTCTTAAGCTTCTCATGTTCTATATTAGTTGTCCATTTACAGATATAAAGTACTAATGGCATGTTTACTAAATCCGTAATTGGATTAGGATGAATTGAATTGAAGATGAATTGAATTGAGGAGGAGTTCGATTGAGAATAATTAGATTCCGGATTCCTATTGAAGTTGTTTACGAAACCATATGGATTAAGGAGAATTGAATTCTAGATTCCTATTAAAGTTGTTTACTAAATCATATGGAATTGGGGTAATAGTGGTACTAATTTCTAAAATGACCCCGTTGTTGGTTAAAATTTTAAAATTGTATAAGGATATAATAAGTAAAAAAGATGAATTCCTAATATATTAGTTCCTCAAGAATTAGAATACCGCCTCCCACCTAAGAATTGAATTCCTCCAAAATCAGGAATTTAATTCCTAATTTTGTGTGGGCCCCACTTGCTTTTTAATTTCTTGATATATGAAGTAAACACAGAAATTCTCCATATATGGAATTCAATTCAATTCATGATGAGAATTCTAATTCTTGATTACTAAACACACTATAAAAGTCTTATTGTATTATCAAATCACGTTATGTGGTAACATTCAATCCATTTTATACATTCAAATAGTGACCGGCAAAACATTGGGCCGAACCGGCCAAGCAAAACCAAACTAATTTGCTCAGTTTGGTTTTATTTTATATTAAAACAATATAATTTCAGACTGAATCGAACCAAATAGCAATTAGTTGGCTTTGTTTGGTTTCACGAATTTGAAAACTGCTCAAGTCTTGTTGGCGAGTCTTTACGTAGTTAAGATTTTGGTTACTTACCAATTATTATTTAGTCCTATTGTAATAGAGATTTATTTCATATTTTATTTAGAATTAACACATCTTTGTACTTGTATAAATACCTTCATATTGGAGAAGAATAATAATATGAGCATATATGAGCATAATATATGTCCTACTTTATTTGACTAATCTTATCATCATTTCCAATATAAAACCAATCCAAATGGTGATATCATTATGTGGTTTGAGACTTGAAACAAACCAAATCGTTGTGTGCCCACACCTAAAAACTACGAGCCTTGATTGATAGTTTTATAATCAGTGGTCCTTAGAGAGAGTGTAACATCTCAATCTATCTTACAATAACCAAACGTCATCCTTTAAAATTATATCATTTTAATACTGGATGGTGACGCTAATTTGTCTCCTCTAATGGTCTGTTTTCGACAGGTTGACCCCAAATGCAATATATTAACGGCACCCGTACAGTTTGTGACTATTTTTTAATGTATTAATACAAATAGCAGCCCAGAAATAATTGATCATGTACTAATTAAAAACTTAAAGTCCCCAATCAAGTATCAAAGGGTTTGCAGCTCAGTTTGCTAACAGTTTTTACTATGCATTCGAGGTCTTATGTTTCGAATCACTCTATGTTCTTTGATTTAGGACAAATCACTCAAACTATAAGGGATTTGCAGCTCAACATTGATTAAAGGGTATTTATTATGCATTCTATAGGTCCTGTGTCCGAAGCACTAAATTCTCGATGAAACCGATTGGGTTAGTATATACCGACTAGTAGTATTAGCACAAACAGCACGAAGTGACACTATCCAAATGGAAAACAATGCGATTGCCATGGCACCAACAACATAAATTTTATGATAGTATGGTTTGTGGTTAGATAGCACCAAGTCTCATTATGACATCAGTGCATCAATGCAACCTCTATAATATAGGTTGACCAAGGTGGTGGTTGAGAAAAGACCCAATTCTCGAGGTTGACTCAAATACAATCTCATATTTGGGCCACAATGTAAGTCCATGTGCATTTTGTAATAGAGAGGAAGAATGGAAGTCCACCCCCCATGGAAGCCCGACGTCTGGGTCCATATGGACAATATACCTGAACTGGTTACAGAACCCAGATCTAGTTCATTATATGGGACTCAACACACTTTATGTTTTTACACTTGGCCTAGACATATATGTTTGTAAATAGAGAAACACTTCAGTTTTAATTGACCCTAAGAAATCCTAATTGTAGGGAAAGAATAGGTACATATGTACATTATAGTTTAAATGATTAGTTGTGATGCATAATGAAATCCAATCCAATTCAATCATATAATTGGAAAACATATCAATTCGTCATCTGGATAGTGAACAAAACTAGATTTTATAAGGGGAAAATGACATTGACTTGCAGATCAATGGTCTCAAGTTCAAACCTCCATGACATCTTGATACATAGTATGTGTGAAAACTCTCTCCCTTTGTAGTTTAGACTATCACTTGTATTTAAAAAATATATATAAAGGAAAATGTAATAACTGAAAGCACAAGTTTTTCATTTTATTTGTGTTCAAACTTCAGTGTACAAGCATGAAAACAATGAGAGATCATCTCAAAGGTCTAGCACTACTCATCTAAGTAAACACAAGAGGAGGAGGGGGGTGTGGTGTGGGGGATGGTTGGGTTGGGTATGCTAAATTACACTTGGATTCAAAGATGCATATTCAAGCAACTCCTTATTGTGTTCAAATTTGGTCATGTCTTCTTCCTTTAAAGTTAAGGACGCTTCTAAGCCATCACCATCTTTCGTATCCATCATATAATTATATTCTTGGAATCTACACTAGAGGTGAAAACCCATGATGGCTTTCCCCATCCAAAATTGGATCCGTAGAAGGGAAACCTGCACCAACTGGTGCAACTATAGCTGTCTATATCATTCCTTTTGATGAGGTTCACAATCTCCATGAAAAGTTGGCATAAACTCTCCCCACTAACTCCATTTCTATAGTTTTCTTTAAATTCCTCAATTCCCTTCCTCAATATAGTAACCAAGCTCCGAAGATCATGATCATCTGCTTCACGAATGTCTGCTGTCTTTGCTGCAACCAACCCGACAACATTCCCTAGTAAGTCTTTACCTGCCAAAGGGCTCACAAGTACTTTTCTCATGTTCACCGTTTGACACCACGCGGAGGGCCTTACCAACCCAAAGTTTGATCTTGATGCTTCCGCTGCACACTTCCAAATGAGTGCCGAAACGACTTCAACGCGCGTAGGATTTGGCACGGTGGTAGTGGCAGCTTTGGACTTGAGAGCAGCAATCTTTGAGGCGTCAAACAAAAATCTCCTTGTTATACACTTTTCTCTGATACCAGAGTTTGCGCTGCCACTAGGCGTTGGCGGTCTGTTTAGGAAATCTACTGGTGGGAAAAGAGAAGCTGCAACACCATATTCTGCAGGAGGCACCACATAATCAGTAGTACTGGCTGAGCCAAATGCTATTGCAGCCCAACTGTTGATGAATTTGCTCATAGTAGAAGCATCCGCGACCTTATGTGAAATGTTGACTCCGATTGCTAATCCACCACACTCAAAGAAGTTGGCCTGGACTTGTAGAAGATAGCTTGTATGACCAGATGGAAGCAGTTTCCATAGCATCCCAAGATCTGGTTTGTCCAGAATATTTGATATGGGACAGTTGACTTGGGCATCAAAAAATGCAGCCCCATGGTCATTGCAACTGATTGAAACATTATATTGGAATTCCCCTGCTAAAGGATAGAAGTGAGTGAGGGCTTCGCGTAAGGATTTCTTTAGAAGCTTGGATCTTTCAGCAACCAAAGAATGGTGATGATCAATATTTTTGACCCCGCCACTGTTATTGCTGGGATAGAAGAGAAGTAAAGGGATATAAATTTGAGGAACAAGCTGATCAAAAACGGAGAGGTTGATAGTTTTAAGGTGGTGAGGAGTTGCAGAGGATGGTTTAATTGTTTCCTTTTGAGTTACTTCAACCTTTACCTCTGGAGCCATGATCGTTGTCCGCAGTTAAAGCTTCATAATAAAATCACCCCTTATAAAGGCACAGATTCACCATACAACAAAAGCTCCTGTTGAACAAAAGTCAAACTTTGTTCAGTTCATTTATATCTGTTCATGTATTCAACTGGGCTTATCTCTTTGATTTATGCTAATTAGCAAGACTTGGAAAAACATGATCATGTGCTGTCTTGTTGGAGCCAATTGCACTAACCCATCACACTTTCCTTTTCAATTGGAATGAGTCAATGACCAAGACTACTTTAGTTTTAAAGTTCTTCAAGTCCTTGAGTTGAATTCATGTTTATCATTTTTAATTATCATATCCTTCCATCATTCAAACCCCAATTAGAAAAGTAATGCAATTCAAAATTGAGATTTGACCTCTGTGCCGCCATGCCGGCTTCTAGAGACCCCTTCCAGATCATCATGCAGCAGAATAGCACACACCCAATATTAAAATGTTCTTGAAAATGTTAAAACAGAGAGGTTGGAGAGGATGGTCTAATTTTTTCCTCCTGAATGATTTCAACCTTTACCTCTGAAGCCATGCTCTTAATGCAACATATTGAAACATTATATTGGAATTCTCCTGCAAAAGGGTAGAAGTGAGTTAGGGCTTCAGATAATGATATTTTAGAAGCTTTGACCTCATTGCTATTATTTGTTGGGTTAGAGCACTTCCACCCCATTGTGCCATGGCAAAGGGCAAGGACAAGTAAGGGCAAACACCATTCATGTGAATAGTGATTGCCCTAGCAATTTTTTAATGAGATATTTTGGAAAAAGCAAAAGGAGAGAGAAAAATTTTAAAAGAAGCAAAAATGGACAAAAATGCCCTTATTTATTTTTAGATTTCCTAATTAATCCAATACATTTGCATGTCTTTGATGTGAAAGTTGAGCGGTTTTTTTGTCTTTTTTGAAAAAGCTTTGGCTTTTTCCAAAAGTGAAAATTTTTTTATGTCTAAAACCTAAAAAACCTTTTTTTTTATCCATTCTCATCCATTGTCATAATAACTCAAGGACAACCACTATATACATGATATATGAGGAGATGAATTTGTATGGATTTTGGTGTGGGAAGTGAAGAACATGACTAGGTATTTATAAAAGAAAAAAAAAATTCTGAACTTTTGATTTTTTTTAATAAAAAGTTTAGTATTTAAATTGGCCGCTAAAGTCAACTTGCCCAGGCAAGTCTTGACTTTGAGCTTGCCTAGTTTCGTGAGCCAAGTTCTTGCCATGGCAAATTTTCCTTTGTGTGGGTTGTTTTTGGAGCCTAGGCCTCTTTTTGTCATGACAAAAAGAAAGGGGTGGAAGTGCTCTTAGAAGAAAAGTATGGTTGGAAAATTCTCTTGCCAAATGATATAATACTGTGGAGTCAGATTCTCCAGCCTTTAGGCCATCCCCAATGGAGGCTCTAAAATGGGCTGCACCACGTTTGGGCTCTAATAAATAAGAACTCTTTGAAAAAACCCATCCCCCATGGTATAAATTTGGGGCTCTAAATGGTAGAGCTTAACCGGAGCTAAAGCTAAATCTGTGTACCTGTTTGCAGCCCTTGAAACTCAATGGGAACCACATTTGGAAAAAGCTGCCAGCCCAACAATTTTTTGGCTCACTTGCCTTGCGACTCAACAGCGTCATACTCGCCCATTTTGATAGTTGCTGACTACTTTTTCTGTTTTTTTAATCAATTGGCCAATTGCAACAAGCTTGTCTCATTGTTTTGGTTTTTTTTGTTGATAAAGTTGACTCAGACTACAACCCTCAAGTTCTAAATGGCTTGGTTTATTTTTTATAACATTTTTTTTCAAATCTTGTCCAATTTTTTATTTTTTTAGGTTGAAAAGCTTAGTGGGCTTTACCCACGTGACAATGACATCATTCTTCCTTCTTCTTTTTTATGGATCAGAACACGACGTCGTTCAGTGTGTTTTGAGAAGACCCAAAAAAGTCAGAAATCCTCATCTTCTTCCTCTCGCTAACACAGCGTCCCTGCAACGAGGTAGCCGCCGTCTGCAAATCAAGCAAGTAAGGCCTACCGTTTTAAAGAAAAAGAAGCAGCAATTGCAGGGGTCAAATTTCTTCTCCCCAAGCCATGGTTTCTGGTTTGCAGGGGTCAGTTGACCCCCTTTACCCTGTGGATCCGCCGCTTGGGTACAATCTAAAAAAAAACAATTCCATTATTCCAAGTTTCCAACAGTACAACTGTTGTGATTGAGCTAAAAAATAAACTAGCCGACCATTTTATTGATAACACAAATTGAAGGCCATGGCAGCGAACAGCACTAATGACTGCCTCCCTTATCAGTACTCAGTAGGTGACCCTAGGATTGAGAGAAGCATACGCAAGCAGCTCCTCGTTGCTTTCAAATAAGGCCATGTTTTCTTGGCTCAGATTGACCCATGCTTCTATTCCATTGCCATCTCTTTTGTCCATCAAAACAGTTAGATTGTTTGCTTCAACAGGAACGTAGCTCACCCATGATGGCTTTCCCCATCCGAAATCGGCTTCATAAAATGGAAATCGACACCAACTTGAGCAGACATACATGTCTATGTCAGCATTTTTCACCACGTCCATGTACTCTATCATTTTTTCCCTTGCTTTGTTAGAATCGAATGCTACTTTTGAAGCACAACGCTCTTTTATTTCTTCAAGCGCTCCCTTGATTTTTGCAATCAAGTCTTTCAAATCTATCACACTAGTACTCTCTCCGGGGTGAGAGTAGTCTGCTACTGAAAAATCCACTAGATTCCCAACCAAGTTTTCTGGCAAGGGCGGCACTGCATATTTACGCAGGTTCATGGGGTGACAGAAGACTGATGACCTTATTAGGCTAGTCCCCAGCATGTTTGATGATGATCTGGATGATGCTTCAATTTGGCATTTCCAAATGAGTGCTGAAACTGCTTCTACTCTTGTTGGTTTGGGCACAACTGAGCTGGCTACTTTAGACTGGAGAGCAGCAATCTTTGAGGCATCAAACACAAACCTCCTTGTCATGCATTTTTCTTTGGCGGCATCCTCGGGTTGGAATGGCGGTGGCTCTGAGTTGGACAAATTTAGTGGTGAAATCAGAGACGCTGCCCCAAATTTGGGAAACATTACCTTTTTTGACTTATCATGAGCAGTTGCAGTCCAACAGTTGATGAATGTGCTCAGTGTTGCGGTATCAGCAAACTTATGCGAAATGCTAAGCCCAATTGCCATTCCACCACACTCGAACAAGTTGATTTGAACACGAAGCAATGTGCCTGTGACCGATTCACTGGACTCATGTTCAATAGCAAGGAATCGTCCTAACATCTCGGGATCTGGGTGTTCCAAAATCTCCGATATAGAGCAATTGACTCGGACTTTCTCAAATTCAGCTCCATCATCGTTGCACTCAATCACGGCGTCACCTTTGATTCTTCCTGCTAAAGGGTAGAAGTGAGTCAGAGTTTTACTTAAGGATTGGAGCAGATGCTGACATCTTTCATTGTTAGTAGTAGCATCAGCATTTGGATAGACGAGAAGGAGTGAGAGGAAGATTTGAAAAGCGTTCTGATCAAAAGGAGAGAGCTCATAATTTCTAAGGTGATGAGGAGTTGGGGAGGAGGGTTTAACTGTTTGCCTCTCGATAATTTCAACCTTGATTTGTGAGGCCATTTGTGATGCAAGTAGAAATGTGAGTTTGATCGATGGGGTTGGAGACCTGCACTCAATTGAATATATAACTAATACTATTTGTGGGCACAGGAAAGGGCGGAACCATGAGATTTTTAACGGGTTTGTTAGCTAAAATTATTAGTTAAAAATTTATGATCATTTTTTTTATGTACTTACAATTTTTATAGTCTTTTTATAAATAAAAGTTTACATTAACTCATATAAATCACGCTAATTAAAGACGGGGAGTCACCACACAACTTCTTCTGTGAGTGATTAGTTTAGTTAGGTGAGATTTTATGAAGACGAGACTAGTAGTTTTGATTGGTGGCTCTAGCTCAGATTCTTCGGACCAAAAAAAAAGCTGACAGATTCTTTTGTCTAGGATTTAAAGGCTCTCATAGTACAAGAGTTGCTAGATGGGATTGTTTATTGGTTTATTATTGTTTTTATAACACATGTTCCGTTGTTTTTATAACACATGTTCCAGTCATTATATGATTGATGTAAGATTGCAGATCTGAAAGAATACCACGCATTGATATTCTTTCATTAATATTGTATCAATACGGAGCAGATTAGTTTAAGAAACTTCAAAGTCTCTCCTAATGAATGGCCAAGATGAATGCTTACTCCCCGAGTTAAAAACAACGGTCAAAAACCAATGTGTTAGTACTCAGTAGGTGACCCTAGCTAGGATTGAGAGAAGCATATGCAAGCAGGTTGGTTCATTAATATGTTAGGTGTGATTTTTGAACCCAAAAAAAATGTGTTACCAACTTCTTGTGTGAGTGATTAGTTTTGTTAGGTGGGATTTTATGAAGACGAGGCTTGTAGTTTTGATTGGAGGCTCTAGCTCAGAGATTCTTCCAACCAAAAAAAAAAGCTGATAGATTCTTTTAGCTAGGTTGCTCGTAGTATAGTACAAGAGTTGCTAGATGGGATTGTTCATTGGTTTATTAATGTGTTAGGTGGGATTTAAATGCTTGCGGACAGATTCTCTCAGGACATAACCTGATAGATTCTATAACACATGTTCCTTATAACACATGTTCCATAGTTTCTATAACACATGTTGCTTATGATACATGTTCCATTGTTTCTATAACACATGTTTCAATCATTATAGACAGATTGGTGTAAGATTGCAGATCTGAAAAGAATACTACGTATTGATATTCTTTCATTATTGTATCAATACGGAGCAGATTAGTTTAAGAAACTTCAAAGTCTCTCCTAATGAATGGCCAAGATGAATACTTACTCCCCGAGTTAAAAATAATGGTCAAGATCGAATCTTGCCTCTACAAGTTAGTGTACATTCGGCTTGCTTCACGTTCTGTTCTTTTATTTGAAAGCTCTGGTGTATCTTTAGGTGACAAATTAATGTGTATATTATAAAATTTGATGCTTGGTCATGACAAACTTGTTTTCTTTGAGAAAATTAATTTTTTGTCAACAACTTTCAATTGTTTAACGATATTCACAATGGTCGAAATAAGGCCCATACCATTTGTGCCAAGCCAAGATGGAAACCAAATATTGTGTTTGATAAATAAATGACATTGATACAACCATTATTTCATACAACTTTTTTTTCTCTCTTAGATTTTTGAATGAAGTTAGTTCATTTTCACTTAGTTTTGTGTTTTATTAGGTTTGAAGAGTAAAGATGAAAAAAAATATGCAAAAGGAGCAGTTTTGGAATTGAAAGATGCTTCGCTAGAATGTCATGTGCAGATCAGCCAATGTGATGGAATAGACTGTACTTTCTCATAGAGAACCAGATGTTAAGCCTTATACCGTTGAAAATATAAAGATGTTAGCTTTATGTAGAATTTTGCGTTTCATGATTCAGACGTGTGTGGAGAGAGTTGTGGTCATTTTATTACATTCGGAAAGAAAGTGTGTTTTGCGGGTTTTGCAAAGTGATTCTTTTAAAGTTCAATCCTTGGAGTCCAATTTGTGTCAATTGCATTTGGGAAGTGTCTAAAAGTAGGATTCGTCATTGGGCCGAGCCGAGGTTTCATAGAACTTCGCTCGATCCAGCCTATTGGGCTGGGCCGAGCCACCCACGGTCCTAGACATGGCGGGATTTTTTATATATTTCTTTCTAAATTATGTACATTAGACAACAATAAAAAATAATAATTTATTACTTGTGGGGAAGACAATTGCTTTTTTGTTGTCATGTTGACGCAACATGACAATTGATTGGCTAAACCTTAGCCTAAAATATGTAACTTTGGAATCCACCAAGAAGATATGAGGAAACCTCAAGGTTTATTTGATAAACTGGAATAACAAAACATAACCCTAACCACGAGTAAAGTATGCTTAAATACTCCTAGAAACTCTAGGAATAACAAAGGAATTAAAATAGGAAAATAACAATGTTTCCAAAAACTGTTAAAACTTTAAAACTAGATTTCGGGCTAGTAAATGATCTCAGATGTCCAAAAAAGCCCATACATCATACTAAGGCAATGTGTTTTATTCGTGACGCCGTTCTCTACGAATTGGCGGGTCATTGGCCCAATTCTGAGCTCGGATCCCTTGCCCGTGCTTCACTCTAGCTCATCTTCAATTGCTTCTGCCATCTATTCTACATCAGATGTCACCGTTGAAGATCTGCAAAGAATACCATGTATTTCAATAAATAAATAAATGAGAAAAGAATACGACGTATTGATATTCTTTCATTATTGTATTAATACGGGGCAGATTGGTTTAAGCTGAGGATGATTAGTATATAGTTGAACTTCAAACTCTCTCCTAATGAATGGCCAAGATGAATGCTTACTCCCCGATTAAAAATAACGGTCAAGATCAAATCTTGCCTCTACAAGTTAGTAAACATTGCCCTTGCTGCACGTTCTGTTCTTTTATTTGCAAGCTCTGGTGTATCTTTAGGTGCCACAATGGCTTATCATGAGGGTGACAAATGTGTATATTATAAAATTTGATGCTTGGTCATGACAACTTTTGTTTTCTTTGATGAAATTACATTTTTGTCAACAACTTTCAATTGTTAATCATTCACAATGGTCGAAATAAGGCCCATACCATTTGTGCCAAGCCAACAAGGAAACTAAATACCGGGTTTGTTTAGAAATGTCACATGAAATTATACATCAGTTTCAATTTGTCACTTTAAAGAAAAATTTAAGAAAAATGCCACCTTAATTTTTCAAAATCCATGATTTGTCATCTGACTTTAACACCATTCAATTTTCCATCTTCTACGAAATGATATATTATTGCATGGTAGTCTGCTGGTGGTACCAAATGATATAATACCGTGGAGTCAGATGTGATCCACAAAGAGGAAGATTCTCTAGCCTTTGAAGATAATGTTGTGGCAGAAGATTAGAGAGTTGGGAAAAATTGGTCCTTGTTGATCTAATTGTAAAAGACAGCTGTGAAGTTGAGCCTTTAATTTATCAAAATTAACTTTTCATAGCCACACCATACAATAACTTATGTTACCACCAGCAGACTACCATGCAATAATATATGTTGCCATCAGTTATGCACATTATATTATTTTGGACGAACATGGTCATTCTACTCTTCCCAGTTTGCTTGTGTCCACCATTGGACAAATCAAACTTTAAGTAGGATTTTCTTTGAATCTGTTTTTAAAAATTTCCATGTTTTTTCCCTTATAAAGCCGGCTTGGCTCTCCTTCTACCCTTTAGCAGGAAGGATTCTCAATCAGTTTTGATTCTCAATCAAACTGATCTTCAGTTACACAATCAGTTTTGATTCTCAATCAAACTGATCTTCAGTTAAACAATCAGTTTTTATTGAGAAGAGGAAATCTCTCTAACAAAAGGTAACGCCATGATCGAATGTAATGACAATGGAGCTGAATTTGTCAAAGCACAAGTCAACTATTCTTTATCAGAGATTTTGCAACAACCAGATGCTGAGATGTTAAGACGATTACTTCCAATTGAACTTGAGTCCAAAGAAACAGGCACAGGCAGATTGCTTCTTATATAAGTCAACTTGTTTGAGAGTGCTGAAATGGCAATTGGGTTGTGCATTTCACATAAGGTTGCTGATGCATCCGCAATATGCACATTCATCCATTGTTGGGCCACTAGATTTCTCTAACTCATCACAGCCACCAGCCAAGGAAGTCATCGAAGAAAAGTGCATGAATACGTGTTTGATGCCTCAAAGATTGGTGCTCTCCAATCTTAAGTAGCCAGTCCAATTGTACCCAATCCAACACGAGTAGAAGCAGTTTCAACACTCATTTGGAAATGTGCAATGGCAAGCATCAACAGAGTCTTTTACAATCATCTCTGTTCCGTCAAGCTGTGAACTTGCCCAAAAGGGTTTTGCCACCCTTGCCAGAAAACTTGGCTGGAAATGTTGTAGGATTTTTCCATATCAAAAGCTGAAGAAAGCGCGATAGATCTAAAGGACTTGTTTGCTAAATTGAGGAAAGGGACTGAGGACATGATTGAACATTATGGCAAAATAGTACTATTTGATTCTAACAAGGCATAGCAAGAGATGGAAGAGTACAGAGACATGATAAATTATTGCAGAGACAGTTATGCCTGCACAAGTTGGTGCAGGTTTTCGTTCTATGAAGTCGATTTTGGATGGGGAAACCCATCATGGGTGAGCGTTGGCTAGTATTAACTTAAGATTATGATTCTGCATTCTCCGAGATCTGACCCTTTTCTCTTATTTCTTATTTCCTTTAAAATCGTGAAAAGATCTCATCTGCTTCTAAGAATTTTAATCTAATGGATATTATGAAATCGATAGTTATAGAATTATAAACTGGTAATTGAATAATGGCATAAACTCTCTAGTTGAGTTGTATATCCTATTGATGATTTCAAACCTCAAGACTCAAGTGAGCAGGGATTTGCTTAGAAGCTCTTCCCAATGTATCCTTAAGGTTGAAATCATTGAGAGGCAAACACTTAAACCATCCTGTAGCTCACATCCCACTCCTTCTCTTCTATCCCAATATTACAACTGCTACTATTAGTAAGGTCACTACTAGCCATCATGAGTCATGACCAAGCCATGGCCATGAATGAAAGATGTCAGCATCTCATTCAGACATATCCAAAGCTCTCACTCACTTCTACCCTTTAGCAGGGAGATTTACTGAAGGCAATGCCACGATTGAATGCAATGATGACGGAGCTGAATTCGTCAAAGCCCGAGTAACTGTTCCTTATCAGAGGTTTTGCAACCCCCAGATATCCAGATGTTAAGTCAACGTGTTTGAGTGTGGTGGAATGGCAATTGGGTTCCGAATTTCACATAAGATTGCTGATGGCTCCACAGTATGCACATTCATCAAATGTTTGGCCACAACAGCCCTTCAGTCCCGCAACAGCGATCAGGTACTAGCGCTTGCAGAATTTGGTGCTGCATCTCTTTTCCACCACTAGATTTCTCTAACTCATCACAGCTGGCACCAAGCAAGAAATTCGTCAAAACACAAAAGTGCATAACAAGGAGGTATGTGTTTGATGCGTCAAAAATTTCTACTCTACAATCTAATGTAGCCAGTTCAGTTGTTCCCAAACCTATATGCGTGGAAGCGGTTTCAGCACTCATTTGGAAATGTGCAATGGAAGCATCGGGATCAACTTGGGTATGTCTCTAAGGCCATCTGTGCTCCGTCACGCTGTAAACTTGCGTAAAAGGGTCACTCCGCTCTTGCCAGAAAACTTGGCTGGGAATGTTGTGGATTACTTTACATCAAGGGCTGAAGAGAGTTTGATAGATCTAAAAGACTTGGCTGCTAAAATCAGGAAAGGGAGTGAACAAGTGAAAGAAAAATATGCTACAAAAGTAGGATTTGATTCTAAGGAGACATGTCAAGAGTTAAAAGACTACTACAGAGACCTGATAGATAATGAAGACATAGACAACCATAACTACACAAGCTGGTGTAGGTTTACTTTCTATGAAACTGATTTTGGATGGGGAAAGCTGGCATGGGTGAGTTTCGCTAGTTTTCCGATTAAGAATGTAATTATTTTGATGGACAAAAGACATAGCAATGGAATTGAAACATGGTTGACTATGAGCAAAGAATGCATGGCCTTGTTTGAGAGAAACTCGGAGCTGCTTGCATATGCTTCTGCAAATCCAAGTGTCACCTGGTGACATAGAGCCTCCTCTGCTGTTGTCTATGTGTGTTTGAATAAAATGGTAGGGTTTTAGGTTTTGACTTTTGATGAGAGCTTAATTGTTGTCTTGGTGCATAGGATGATCTTGTCTTTGTAATGTGGTTTAAAAATGTGATCCTTTATGATCGTTTTAGACAGTGGTGGATCCATGAATTTTCATTCCGGGGGTCAACAACCCTAAATCAACAACGTGATCGTTTTAGATGCTTTGGATCTTTCACATCCAAAGAATATTAGTGATCAACTGACCTCACTATAACCAGAACAGAAGACAAAAATTTAGAGAATATATTTGCACTATATCAATTAAGATTAATCGGTGGTTTGCAACATCACTACAACACCCATGTGCCATTAGATGACTTTTACTTTTAGGATTTGAGGAGTGGATAGATTAAATCACACTCATCCAACACTATCGTGATGCTCATGATCATGACCAATTAATGGTAGTGACCAACTCTATTCTCAAAATTTTAAAGATGTTGGTAATGTTACGTAAATAATGTACAAAGGTTTCCACTTCGTCCTCCACAGTATGGCAATGTTAGGTAAATAATCACAGTTTGACTAATTCGTACTATAATGGAAAATACTTGCATCATGCCCATGTAAGCAGGAACTAGTACTCCTGTCAATCACAGTTTGAAATGTGTACAATTTTGTTTGTGTGTGTGTGTGTGTTTTTAATGAAAATATTTTACATGTGTCAAACGGGTGATTAATTTACATAATGAGGCAAGCAATGTCCTAGGGACTGCTACCTATACAGCACAGCCGCCTAATTGCTCCAGTAATGAACTCAACTGTCCAGTTGACTTAATTGTATCCCAGTAGTACAATTGGATAATCAACTACAAAACTCCACAAAAGTGGGTAGTTCTTCAATGTAGAATGCTGGCCTTTTCCTATAGAGAATGCTGGCCTTTTCAAACGCAGTTCTTCAATGTTTAAGGCAGGCCATGCCGCGGTCTAATATTCATGACATTATTTTCCACACTTAACAGAATCTACTATCAAGATATGGCCACAGAGCATCAAGGTTGAAATCTTTGAGAGGCAACCAGTAGTGGGGCTTTTGCCTACAATGTAGTTCTAGTTATATTCAATTCAATGTAGAACCCGATCCATTATAAGGTAGACCAGCCCCATTGTTCCAATTCACAGTTTGTGCTTGCATCACTTGAAATCAAGGTTGAGCAAAATGGCCACAGAAATCAAGGTTGAAATCATCCAGAGGCAAACAGTTAAACCATCCTCCCCAACTCCTCATCACCTTAGAAATTATAAGCTCTCTATTTTGGATCAGATGGCCCTTCAAACCTACATCCCAATCCTTCTCTTCTATCCCAATGCTGCTGATGCTACTAGCAACAATGTCATGGCCACCGATGAAAGATGTCCGCATCTAATGCAATCCTTAGCTAAAACTCTCACTCACTTCTATCCTTCGGCAGGAAGAATCAAAGGTGACGCCGTGATTGAATGTAACGATGATGGAGCTGAGTTTGTGGAAGCCCGAGTCAAGTGTTCCTTATCAGAGATTTTCGAACACCCAGATGCTGAGATGTTAAGACGATTCCTACCAGTTGAACCCGAGTCTAGAGAAGCGGGCACCGGCACGTTGCTTCTTGTTCAAGTCAACTTGTTTGAGTGTGGTGGAATGGCAATTGGGTTTAGCATTTCTCATAAGTTTGGTGATGCCACAACATTAAGCACATTCATCAATTGTTGGACTGCAGCTGCCCATGATCAGTCAAATATGTTAAAGCTTCCCAATTTGGTGCTGCATCTCTGTTTTCTCCACTAAATTTCTCTAACTCAGAGCCACTGCCATCCGTGGAAGTCGATAAGGAAAAGTTCATAACAAGGAGGTTTGTGTTTGATGCCTCAAAGATTGCTGCTCTCCAATCTAAGGTAACCAGCTCAGTTGTGCCCAAACCAACAAGAGTAGAAGCAGCTTCAGCACTCATTTGGAAATGCAAAATTGAAGCATCATCCCGATCATCATCAAACACGTTGGGGACTAGCCTAATAAGGCCATCAGTCTTCTCTCACTCTGTGAACATGCGTAAAATGGCAGTGCCACCCTTGCCAGAAAACTTGGTTGGGAATCTAGTAGATTTTTCGACAACCAACTATTCTCACTCTGGAGAGAATTCCACTGTGATAGATTTGAAAGGCTTGGTGGCAAAAATCAGGGGAGGACTTGAAGAAACAAAAGAACGTCATGCTGCAGTAGTAGTATTTGATTCTAACGAAGCATGGCAAAACATGGAATGGTACATAAACCTGATGAAAAATGATGACATAGACAAGTTTATCTGCTCAAGTTGGTGTAGGTTTCCATTTTATGAAGCCGATTTCGGATGGGGAAAGCCATCATGGGTGAGCTACGTTGCTGTTGCAATTAACAATGTAACTGTTTTGATGGACAAAAGAGATGACAATGGAATAGAAGCATGGGTGACTCTGAGCCAAGAGAACATGGCCTTATTTGAAAGCAACAAGGAGCTGCTTGATTATGCTTCTCTGAACCCTAGGGTCACCAACTGAGTACTGATAAGAGAGCTGGCCAATAGTACCGTCCTCCTCTGACATGGTTGTGATATCAATAAAATGGTAGGCTAGCTTTTGATAGCTTGCTTGTTTTCTAGCTCAATAAAACAGTAGAATTGTTGGAAACTTGGAGTCAAGTGAATGTTCGATCTAAGAGTTGAACAAGTTTGAATGATTGATTATGTATTAGCATTAATGGAATCAATTGTGAGATCTATGGTTGTACTCTACACTCTAGCGTAGCCAGTTCAGTCGTTCCCTACACGTGTGGTGTGGAAGCGGTTTTTATCAATTCAAAAGTCATTAAACCCTTTTTTAAGAAAATAAAATAAAATAATCGAGGGTTTACCCAACCCAACTCTAACCCCATTCATCTCTCACACCTAAACTGGTCATAGTTTCATGTCCTTTTGGTACGATTTGTGGTATGGGTTTCAGAGAAAACCAGAGTGTTGTTTCTTGAATCAAAAAATAAAGGAATGAATTATACCAAAAGGATATGAAACTGTGAATCGTTTTCAGCAGTAGAACATTCAGCGGGAATATTTTCAGCCGTGGTGGTGTGGGATGGTGGTGCTCTTAAAAGGATATGGTGGTGTTATACGATGGTGGTGGTGTAAGATTTGTTTACACCATAATCAACCGAACATATCCAGTCTCAAAACAACTAGCACCAAGGCAGACACGCCTTCTCTCTTGCCAAAGGAAGACACTCTTCCGAGGTGCCAAGCACCTGCCGAAACTCCCGACTGCCAAAGCTCACAAACTGTTAAACCTAATTCTCATGACACGTGTCACCACCGCGGCAACTTGCACAGAGTCCCACATCGGAAATCTACACCAACCTCCCACTTTCACTTCCCTATAAAAAGGGAACAGTACCCTAGTAAGAGGGGTAACTACTTTTCTGCCTTTTACTATTACTCTGCAAAAGTTACTATTCTTAGCTGACTTAAGCATCGGAGAGCCTTCGGCCGGCACCACACCGGTGCCCGGAGCTTAACGACTGCTTCCCCTATTTTTGTCTTCTGCAGGCTAGCCTTTATTGAAGGCCCAGACCCTTTCCCTGCTGAAGGCAAACCCCTTTTTCTCTAAGTTGACCCTCTCCGAAAAAGAGCATCAACAGTTTGGCGCCGTCTGTGGGAAACGATACTTGAATCCCCATTTTTTTCTCTACCAGCCCAGCTGGCTCCTTCTCCTATCCGGCCCCGTCGCCTCTTCTTCACTCCACACTCAGCTATGCCTACTGAGGATAGCCAGGGGACTCAGCACCATACCCCCCATGGGGGTACCTCCCAGAGAAGACCTTCAGCAGATGCCAATCTCCAGGCAGAACTGGAGAGCCTCCGCGCCAGTGTCACCAAGATGTCTGAGAAATATGACAATCTTCATGCTAAGAACGTCGAGCTCGAGCATGACTACCGCACACTGAAGCGTAACTGGGAGATGAATCAGACCCAAGGCTCCCAACACAGCCCTACCCAGGTACCTGAGCGTACACAGCCAAACCAGCCGGAGCACTCCCACCACAATGTCCCAACCCAGCCTAGGCCCAGCAAGGGTAAAGGCCCCCTCTATCCGGACACGACCAAGTCGCGGCTTCTCCGCATCTCCCCACCAAGGAACCGGCCTCATGAACCAACAAAGGTCTACCGGGATTGCAGGGACCGTATCCTGGACCGTCAAACGGAACCTCATCTTATCTCTGTTAATCTCCAAGACCCAAAGATGAAACACCTGGGCCCCCCGCCAAAGCCTACCCAACTACCCCTTGGAGAAGGTATAGGGGACTCAGAGAACTGGGGCCAGGGTTACTCAGAAGACTACGAGTCTTATCACACCGAGGCGTTCGAAGAATTCTACCCAGCCCATGGCCACCCACACACCAGACCCCCAGCACCCGAGACTCTCCCTCATACCGACCCGGCAATGAGGCTTCTCTTCGAGAAAGTCCGGCGCCTGGAGAGCGAACATCAGCGCAACCACCAACCTCTCTGGGCAAAGCCACGGCCTGGGCCCTTTACCGAACGCATCCTTAATTACCACCAGGAGAAGGACATCCAGCCACTCCGCATTGCCTTCTACACTGGTACAGAGGATCCTCTCACCCACATACATTCTTTCCAGTCTGCCTTGGGGTGCAAGGGCCTCACTGACGAAGGCATGTGTCTCCTCTTCCCTTCCACTCTCAGTGGCGCGGCCCTGAACTGGTTTTACAGGCTGAACCCCCGCACTATCAATACATTTGACAGTCTGAAACAGGCTTTCCTGGACCATTTCATGATCCAGACCGATCGCCTCTACTCCGCGGACGACCTATACATGCTTAGACAGGGTGAGGATGAGCCCCTTCGGGAGTATGCAGCCAGGTTCAGCCACGAATACTCCCGCTGCCCAGATACTGATGATCGTGCCGCCTTCGGTGCTTTCAAGAGTGGCCTCCGAGAGTCTAACTTCCGGTACCTGGTCCACAGCAACCCTTGGAACACATATGCCGAGCTGATGAAGCAAGCAGCAGTTCATGCCAAGGCTGAGTACTTCAACTCCAAGCGCAGCCCAGCCATCCCGGCGCATAATCCTTTTGCTGATCCTCCACCTGCTTCGGTACCCATCCCAGCTCCACCCCAACATTCTGCCCCTGCACCAAGCACCCAGGGTGCCCAACACCCCAAGAGGAAGGATAGCTACCAGCATACCTTCAACAATAACAAGCGGGCAGACATGGGAACCACCACCAGTCTAGTGGAAGCAACCCCCCCAGGACAAATGACCGGGCCCCACTCCCATTCTCACCCAAACCCAGGTTCGAGGTCTTCACCACCCTCAACACTACCTATGAGAATGTCCCAGTGCACGAGGCACCTATCATACCTCAGCCTCCACCCCGGAAACCAGGCAGCAAGCCTATGCCTAACACAGGAGTTTTCTGTCGCTTTCATCAGTTCGGTGGCCATGATACCGAATCTTGTGTTGCCTTGCGCAACATCATTGAGGGACTTATTCGCGAGGGGAAGCTGGATAAATACGTGCACAACCTCCCACCTAACCCTCACCAACGGCAGATCAACATGATCTCAACCATCAGCGGTGGCCCAACCATGGCTGGCACCTCCAACAACTCCATCAAACATTATGTCCGCTCTACTTATGCGCACCAGGTCTTCAGTACTGAGCAGGGACGCTTGCCGAAGACACAAAAAACAGGCTGGGCCCCCATTACCTTCTGCGAGGAGGAGGAGCGCGGCGTTATCCTCCCTCATGATGACCCAATCATTATCCGCGCCGACATATCTAACTTTGACGTTGGGCGCATATTGGTAGACACTGGCAGCTCAGTCAGTGTGATGTTTGCTGATGCCTTCAATGAGCTCCAGGTCCCATCTCATTTGCTCGACCGAAGCGTCACACCCCTGGTGAGCTTTTCGGGTGATGTGGTCCAGCCTATTGGGAGCATTCATCTCCCTATCTCTATTGGAGCAGCTCCCCAGCGAGCGACGGTCACCACTCCCTTCCTCATCATTGACTGCCCCACAGCCTACAACGTTATCCTGGGACGCCCTGCCATGGCCCAGATGAAGGTTTTCATTTCCACACATATGTTACTGTTGAAATTTCCTACCCCCTATGGCACGGGCACTGCGCGCGGTGATCAACTGGGCGCCCGAAGCTGCTATGCTTCAGCAGTAAAGTCTACTAATCGCCAACATAGGGGTGAGGCCCTAGCAGTAACCCAGGCCCTAGCCCCACCTCGAGCTGGCACTGAGCGCCCAGAGGACCCCAGGGAGGAATCTGCCACCCAACAGGCCGAACCTGTGGAGGACCTTGAACTGGTCACTCTCCATGAGGATATCCCGGATCGACAGGTCAGGATCGGCACCTCCCTCTCCCAAGAGCTTCGCTCTGATCTTATTGCCTTCCTCCGCCTCAACTCTGAAGTCTTTGCTTGGTCTTACAACGACATGCCGGGCATATCACCTGACGTCATCTCCCATAGGCTAAGCATTAATCCTGTCGTCCGACCCGTTCGGCAGAAGCGTCGTGCTTATGACCCAGAGCGGTATGAGGCCATGAAGGCGGAAGTGGATAAGCTGAGCACCATTGGTTTCATCAAGGAGGTGGATTATCCCACCTGGCTAGCCAATGTGGTAATGGTACGTAAACTAAAGAAGGGTTGGCGCATGTGCGTAGACTACACAAATCTCAACCGGGCCTGCCCAAAGGATAGTTTCCCCCTACCCCGCATTGACCAGCTAGTTGACGCCACAGCTGGCCAAGCCCTCCTCAGCTTCATGGATGCTTACTCAGGGTACAACCAGATCTTCATGCATCCTGAGGACCAAGCTCATACATCCTTCATCACCGACCGTGGCCTTTACTGCTACAAAGTCATGCCATTCGGCCTCAAGAACGCCGGGGCTACATATCAGCGTCTGGTGAATAGCATCTTCGCTCCACTCATTGGCAACACCATGGAGGTTTATGTTGATGACATGCTGGTCAAGAGTCGCACTGCTGACCAGCACATCCCCAACCTCTCTGCCACGTTCACCATTTTGAAGCAGTATAGGATGCGGCTCAACCCCACCAAGTGTGCATTTGGGGTGGCCTCCGGCAAATTCCTTGGCTTCATGATCAACCAAAGAGGTATTGAGGCCAACCCAGAGAAGATCCAGGCTATTTTGGACATGACGATACCCAAGACGGTCAAGGACATTCAGAGCCTTACCGGGCGTGTCGCAGCCCTGACCAGATTTATCTCTAAGGCCACTGATCGTTGCGCCCCATTCTTCAAGGCACTTAAGGGTAGCAAGCGCAACATCACCTGGACTGCGGAATGTGACCAGGCATTCTGCGAGCTCAAGGCATACATGAGCCGAGCCCCTTTATTGTCAACCCCTGAGTCTGGGGACGTCCTCACCATCTACCTTTCTGTCTCGGCTACAGCGGTTAGCTCAGTGCTCATTCGACCACATGAAGGTGCTGAGCATCCGGTGCACTATGTGAGCAAAGGATTGCAAGATGCGGAGATTCGATACCCAGACATTGAGAAACTTGCTTTCGCCCTGGTGGTTTCGGCTAGACGCCTCCGGCCATACTTTCAAGCTCACACCATCCATGTCCTAACCAACCAACCACTCAGGCAGGTGTTGCAGAAGCCAGAGACTTCTGGGAGGTTAGTCAAGTGGGCCATTGAACTTGGTGAGTTTGATATCCACTACAAACCCCGCCAAGCTGCAAAGGGCCAAGCCGTGGCTGATTTCATATCTGAATTCACCGAACCCCATACTCTGGCCAGTCCTCAGATTGCAATCACGCCTACTCCTACCTCGAACCGGGTCCACGTCGCCAGCAACGGCTCCCTAGACTTAACTCAGCCCTTGTGGACCTTGTATGTGGATGGCTCTTCCAATGCCCAGGGATGTGGAGCTGGCCTCGTTCTCATATCCCCAGACAAGGTTGCCCTTGAGTACGCCCTCCGCTTCAAATTCCACGCCTCCAACAATGAGGCCGAATACGAAGCACTCTTAGCCGGCCTTCGCCTAGCCAAGGAAATGGGCGCCAAGCAAATCCAAATATTCAGCGACTCGCAGCTTGTTGTCCACCAAGTCAACCAGGACTTCACGGCCAAGGACATCTCCATGACAGCCTACCTCCAACATACCCGCCACCTGCTTACAACTTTCAATGCTTATCTCATAGGCCAGGTGCCACGCTCTGAGAACAGTCATGCTGATGCATTGGCAAGGCTAGCCTCGGCGATGGAGCAGGGCATAGGTCGAAACATCCACATCGAGTTCTTGGACCAGCCCAGTACACGGGCACCACTCATTTGTGTCATTGATCAAAGCCCTACATGGATGGACCCCATCACTCAGTTCTTGCAGAACCAGACACTACCTGCTGAAGCGCGGCGTGTTCGCTATCGTTCCGCCCGATACTTGATCATCAATGGTGCCCTATACAGGCGCGGCTTCAGCCTCCCCTATCTTCGATGCCTGACCCCAGAGGAAGGTACCTATGTCCTGAGAGAGATTCATGAGGGTATCTGTGGCAACCACTCAGGCGCTCGCTCCCTAGCACACAAGATCATTCGGCAGGGATACTTTTGGCCATCACTTCACACTGATGCCCAGACCTTCACCCAGAAGTGCGATAAGTGTCAGCGATTTGCCAACATCCCACAACTTCCAGCTGAGCCATTGACAGCCATGGTCAGTCCTTGGCCATTCGCCCAATGGGGACTTGACCTCATTGGACCTATGCCTGAGGGCAAGGGCCAAGTCAAGTATGCAGTTGTAGCTGTGGACTACTTCACCAAGTGGGTTGAAGCTGAGGCCTTAGCCACCATCACTGCAGCCCGCATTGAAACTTTTGTTTGGCAAAACATCGTCTGTCGCTTTGGCATCCCCAACACCATCGTCACAGACAATGGCCGGCAATTTGACAACGCAAAGTTCAAGCAATTTTGTTCCAACCTCAAGATAAAGCTTTGCTTCGCCTCCCCAGCCCATCCTCAATCTAATGGCCAGGTGGAAGCTGTGAACAAGATCATCAAGAAAACTCTAAAAACTAAGCTTGACAAAGCTAAGGGTTGCTGGCCGGAACTACTCCCAGAAGTTCTCTGGTCTTATCGCACCACCTTCCGGACCTCAACAGGAGAAACACCTTTCTCTCTCTCCTTTGGTACCGAAGCAGTGGCACCAGTGGAAATTGGCCAGCCCACATACCGCACCTCCACCTATGAGGCCGAGGCCAATGACGAGCAGCTAGCCCTGAACCTCGACTTCATTGACGAGCTTCGTGACCAATCCAACATGCGCAATGTCGCGTACAAACAGCGCATCGCTAAGTACTACGACTCCCGAGTCAAAGCCCGTGCTTTCAAACTTGGGGACTGGGTCATGCGCAAGGTTTCCTTGGCCACCAAGAACCCCACTGAAGGTACCTTGGGCCCAACATGGGAAGGTCCTTATGAGGTTACCAAAGTCTGCCGCCCCGGCACTTATCAGCTTCGTGACACCAAGGGCAAGACCTTGCCTCATCCTTGGAATGCTGATCACCTCAAGTACTACTATAAGTAAACATACCTAGACTCTAGGCTATTATGTTTTCTCCTACTTTGGTCTCGAGCCTTGACTCAACCAACTCTTGTACTTTTTGCCTTCCGGCACATATTTAATGAACGCCCGACCCTGGCTCATTTTCATCAATCACATGGTTCTCATTTTGCTAAGCACAATTGATATCAAAATGACAACAAGTCTCATATCATAGCACATCAAAGTAACCTTGCCCCAGGCAAGGCAAAATGTTCATACATGATCAAAATAAACATCAAGTGTTTAAACTAAAAAGCTAGAATACATAAAGAAGGCAACGCCTTCAGGACTCAGTCGATGGAGCATCCGTAATGGCTGGCTCTGGCTCTGGCTCTGGAACGACATCAGTGGTACGACTAGATGAGGGAGGCTCACCACTCGTGTCAAAGTTAATCTCCACTGAAGGGTTGAACATCGCCACCCTCTCCTCCCAACCCAGCTGCATCGCCACCATCTGATCCATGATGTAGCTCCTCAGCTCATCCGAACCCCGAAACGACTCGATCGCTTCGACCCGGGCAGCAGCTACCTCCTCGGCCCTCGACCGCTTCAGCTCTTCCATCTCCTTGGCCATCGCCGCTTTCTGCAGCACCAGGGTGTTCTTCTCTCGGATGGCCTCCTGCGCCTCCGCTACCTTATCCTTGGCCATCTCATTGCGCCTCTTCAACCTCTGGATCTCTTTATCTGCCTTGGCCATATTCACATACATCTCACCATAAGCCTGCAACACACAACATTATCAGTTCAAGGCAAATTCGAATTATATGAACAAAGTCTTAAGGCAAGCCAACTTACATAGGCCTGGGTCAGGAGCGTCTTCTGGGCCCGATCTGCATAGGAGGTAGCCGGGGTCCTCGCAAGAACCTCTGGGTCACTCTTTACGCCTTCCAGGAAGACGTTCACCAAGGGAACCTCCTGCCGATGCATGGCCAGGTTCACCTCCTTCTTCTGCCGACGCAGCCCAGAGAAGTCCACCTTCTCTACCCCCTCGGCGTAAACATCATCCATACCAAAAGGGAGCTTCGGCGGCGCCTGCGGGTCAAAGGGAGGAAGCCTCGGCGCTGTCCCCATCACGCTCCGGTGAGCTTCCTCCAGCGCTCTCTTCTTTCCCAACGCATCAGAGACTAGGCCCTCATCATCTCTAGGACGCCTCCCAGCAGCCTGTTGGGCACCTCCCTTCTCTGCTTTCTTGGCCCGAGACTCCCTCAGCCGTTTCTGCATCTCGGGATCATCCAGATCCATGGCCACCTTCGTGCCCCCCCTTATGATCCCTGCCACTGCACATCAAAAGGCTAAGTCAGTTTCAACTACAAAATGAATCATAAGACAAACAACAACAGTGACCCAGGTACTTACTCCCTTGCAAGAGTCCGGACTCGTACAGGTTCTTCTGGGTGACTAAGTTTTTACGCTCACGATGGGTCTCCGACAACACAACTAGTCTTAAAGGATGGGGCTAAGGACCTATCGACTGGAAGTGGGTTGGAATATGTCTGGAGACGGTCTTCCCTGGAGGACACTCCCAATCACCATAGGCCAAGCACCACCTGTTCCGCCAAGACTTCTGCGTACTCGGCTTATGCCCAATAAAGTAACCTCTCTCCTTTGCCTTCCGGCAATTGGCTTGTACCCAGCCAAAGGTCCCCTGTTGCTTGGAGATCGAATACAGGTACATAAACTGCTCAAATGTTGGCTCCCCCAACCCAACCAACCACCAAGCAATGTAAACTCCATGAAGAAGTAGCCAAAAGTTGGGATTGTATTGCCCCGGCGCATACCCCAACTTGGCCAGCATCATCTGTACCCAGGGATGAAATGGCAGTCTGAGACCATGCTGGTACATATCGGTGAATATCATCACTGAACCCTCCGGAGGATATCTCACTACATCCGCAGCACTAGGTAACCTCAGGCCCACATAGGATGGCACACTATAATCTGTCCGAAGCTCAACCAACTTGGCTTCTGTGAGTGTATTCCGATTTCCCAACGGGACACCAACCCGGATGTCCACCCCCTCTGAAGCTGAAACCATGGCTATACCCACAGACTCTGATGGTGATGTCTGATTGCTCGAGCCCACCTCCGGTGTATGTGCCAAGGCTAGAACCCGATCAACATTGGCTTCTAACACTTTATACTTCTTCTGCATCTTCCTATATGCCTCTGACCCAGACTCTACTGATGGCCCAGCCATCTCACCCTCATGCACTCCCATCCTAGCTTCTATAAGCCCTTCTACAAAACTATCTGTCTGGGAACTCTCCTCTTCAGAACAAACATACTCACTGGCCTCTTCACTCTCAGACATCTACAACATGCAGAAACAAGAAAAAGGAACTAATGCACATGCAAAGAGGATCTAAGCACAAAAACACAAAATTGGACAGCCTCTACATGCTTTTTGATCTAGATGCATACATTCAACATGTTCATACTCATGCTCAAGGTGTTCATCATACTCTTCAAACATGTTCATACAAAAAGTTGAATTTCATTTCAAGAATTCAAGGGAAATGAGGTCTAACCTTGTTTGCACCACCACCAAAATCTCACCAGAAATCTTTTTCTCCTTCTCACTTTCTGACAATCTTTCTCAAAAATCTCCAAGTATGATGCCTACGTCACTCCAAGTTCCTATTTATAAGGCCCTAGGGTTACAAGAGAAACCCTAGCACCCTTTCACCTTCCTTCCCAAACCCTAGGCCCTAGGGTTACAAGAGTACCTACACAGCATTTGCAATTTCAGATTTAAAAAAAAAAAAAAAAAAAAAAAAAAAGGAACCTTGCCGAACGGCAAGGCCCGGGCATTAGCACAAGAAGGTCATCACAATTTTCCAGGTTGCCCAACCCAAAAATTTGATCAAGGCACCCAGCCTCCCGAGCTAACCCAATCCATGCCTTAGGTCTAAAAGGCCCAAACCCCATCATTTTTATTTATGCCTAAGCCCGACACTATTACTTGGAAGCCCAAGCTCACCAAGGCTATCCAAAACCAAATGGGGATTTTAACGAAAAATCACAACAACATAAATCCGAGGGCTCACCAAATTTCTCAAAGAAAGCCCAGCCACGCAAGGCCCAGCTCTGCTTCACGCCCAGGCACTTGCCGAAGTAACCGAATAGCCCAGCTCCCAAAGCCCAGACCTGCCAAAAAGTTAAAGAAAAAACAACAACAAAACAAAAATATTCAAAAACATTTACAAGCACCCTTGCCGAACGGCAAGGGTTATGTAGCAACAAAATGGTGGCCTCCATGAACAACACCAATACCTCGGACCCAGCTCCAATTTTCTTCCCTTCCTCTCTACACTTGCCAAACGGCAAGGGCCGCAACACAAACTGAAGAACAGCTCACCAAGGTCACGATTCCAGGTCACCAAACCAGGTCCTTGTCGGCTGAACCTTGCCTTGCTTGCCGAAGCTTGGTTGAGCTGAAACCAAGCCCTTGCCGAACGGCAATTTCTGTAAAAACTGCTCAAGACTTGGAACCAACTCAAGACAGAGGAGCCATGATTTGCTCTAGACACCCAAAAGGTTGCAACGGGTCCCAGCTCCAAACTGATCAAGACACCCAAGCTGCAAAAAAGGACCCAGCTCTAAGTTTCAGCTCCAAAAGTCACGACAAATCTGCCAAAGAAAACACCAACAGCTCAGCCGATTCCTACAAGGATTCAACAAAGATTCAATAAACAAAAAACAACAAAAAAGACAGAGAAGTTCAAAGAAGAAACATGCTCAAAGACACCCACCCCAACACACCCAGCTCTATTTCGAAAGACCAGCCCCAATCCTCCTTCTAGGAGCCAAACCAAAAGGAACCTGCCGAACGGCAGGCTCCGTGAACAGGTTTTTAGGAGGCTCACAAACTCACTAAAATATTCACCTCGACCCGAGCCAAGGTGGCCGCAGCCTCGCTAACTCTGGGCCGAAATTGGACCGGCCCCTCTTGCCAAGATGCCTAGCTCCAAGTCACGACCAGCTCATGTGCCTCAGCCCACCCAACTTTTGAGGACCACCACAAAAACCCACTCACACCACCCTTGCCGTTCGGCAAGGGTTCAGCAACTCAAGAGGTGAATTCAACAGGAACCTACCTAAGCACTGCCAAAGACCAGAGACTCGAAGAGGTCCAGCTCGTGTAGCCTCAACTTGCCAAGGGCCCAGCTCCGATTTTTCTCATTCCAAGAACCAGCCTCCCTCCAGGCTCCTCCTTGCCGGACGGTACCAGCCCCGATCTCTTCCTCCCAAGACTCAACTCTCAAGAGCCAGCTCAAGAACAAAACACACCCTTGCCGAACGGCAAGGGCTGTGTGGAAGGAAAATGGGGAACTAAAAATGGATGCTCCAAGATTTGCTCAAAAATCCCCTTGAAACCGTGAGCTGCCCAGCCTTTTTGCCTAGCCCCTTTTTGCTCCACAAAAGTCCCAGCTACCTCTTGCCGAACGGCAAGGGCTAGTGAAACTCATTTATACTTTCCCCACAAAATCTAAACCTAGCGTTTCACTTACCTAAGCCAACAAAACAGCCCAGCCTTTTTGCTCCACAAAGGTCCTAGCTACTGCTTGCCGAACGGCAGGTTTCATAAAAACTAAATACAGGAGGCACACCAATCCTCATCTCAACCTAGCACCCTACTATAGCCAAGGCCTCACAACTAAACTCACGGGCTCAGCCCCTTGTTACCTTTTTCTCTTTTTGCCGAAGCCCCAGCTCACTTTGGGCCACTTTTTACATGGCAGCCCCTAATTTCAGATGCCTCAATGGCCCAACCCCAATTACCCAAGCCCATACCACATGGCCAATAACCAATAGAGCGAGCCCAGCTCCTACTTTGGGCACCAGCGAAATGGGCTCCCAAGGGATTCTCTTTACCAAAATCCCATGCCCAGCTCAAAAAAAAAAAATATATATATATATTTATATTACCCAAATACAAAAAAAAAAAAAAAGGGCCCCAAATGGCAAGGGGGCTAGGAAAATGGAAAAATGGAAGCCCATATTCTTTTCTCTTTCAAGCTTCAGCCCAATCTTTTGGGACCCAGGCCTTTTCTACTCAAAATCATCACTTGGTTACCAAACGGCAGGACCCGGGTCATAAACACTAAGGCCCACAGATTTTCTTACTGAAGCTTCAAAAACCCAAGTCTACTTTTCTTTTAAAGGTACCCAGCTACCAACAAACACTGAGGCTAACACAGCTTCTCTTATACCTTCCAAGTGTTAACGCCACTTCTAGCTTGACAACTTGGGGGACTAGGGACTGCCCTACGGCTCCCACTGAACCTGGAATGCTCGGTCATGATCACACAAGAGCTTACAAGTTCCCAACCCAGAAGTCACTTCTTGACCGCGAACTTGGGGGACTACTGTTTACACCATAATCAACCGAACATATCCAGTCTCAAAACAACTAGCACCAAGGCAGACACGCCTTCTCTCTTGCCAAAGGAAGACATTCTTCCGAGGTGCCAAGCACCTGCCGAAACTCCCGACTGCCAAAGCTCACAAACTGTTAAACCTAATTCTCATGACACGTGTCACCACCGCGGCAACTTGCACAGAGTCCCACATCGGAAATCTACACCAACCTCCCACTTTCACTTCCCTATAAAAAGGGAACAGTACCCTAGTAAGAGGGGTAACTACTTTTCTGCCTTTTACTATTACTCTGCAAAAGTTACTATTCTTAGCTGACTTAAGCATCGGAGAGCCTTCGGCCGGCACCACACCGGTGCCCGGAGCTTAACGACTGCTTCCCCTATTTTTGTCTTCTGCAGGCTAGCCTTTATTGAAGGCCCAGACCCTTTCCCTGCTGAAGGCAAACCCCTTTTTCTCTAAGTTGACCCTCTCCGAAAAAGAGCATCAACAAGATTAGTGGGATGTGACATTTGACACATCATTTTATATTCAAATTTGGTGTACAAATACTCAAAAGTAATTAGCGTTTAAACATTGGAAAACTCTTAACTTCTTTCCTTTTAATTTTCCTTAGGCCATGTATCCATGCCTCATCTATCCATCCAATTTCCAAAGAAAGAAGGAAAAAATTTCTTCCCATCGAGTTACAAGACTTTGGTTTCTATTGTAAGAGTTTACTATATGCAAAATATTTCTAAACCAATTGAGGACTTTAAACCACATCTTAACTCAGAAAGACAATTGAACAAAAAAATTATTAGAGATAAGACTTACTTGAATTAGCCATAATCAAATATACAAGACGATCTTCTCCTCTCAGTATTCTAGAACGTCAAGGCTTACAATAGGACAAGAATACATAATATGAACGTATGGATATGAGTGCAGAGACCAAGCCTTTTATATAAGTTTCTTTACAACTGACTCTCCTATTAAGAAACAACTACTAGCCAAACGTGGAGATAATGGATGATATCTACCTCCTACAATAGTTATTCCATTTAGTCATTATTTGAATGAAAGTCTCAAAAGTCTCATAATATCTTAATTTAAATATAACTCTATTTATTATTTATATGACACCTCATAATTATGAAAAGACAAACTCACAAAATATATGGAAAAACTTACATCTATGTCCCTATGGTGTTTGACAAATGACACTCTTCCTATTTTGAAAATGAAAGATGGGTAATATTTGAATTAAAAGAAAGAAAAAAACACTGCCACCTAATATTTATTATTAATATAGTAAATTTGGCTTCTCCCTTCAAACTCATATTGCCTTACCTGCAACCCATTCCTTTATTTTTCTACAAACTTTAAGAAAAGATAACATGGGTAGTTATGTTCCATAAAAGTAGGATTTATTATCTGATTAATTTTTTTAAATATGAAAAAATGTAAATTTACTATATTATCCTCATTTAATTAATAATTTCAATTCTTAATGTTTGAATTAATCAATGACATTTTCTAGTATTTTGAATGTTTCACCATTCTCTGCCTTTTGCTTTATATATTTTTCTACAAATAAAACCCAATTTCTTTAAGTAAAACCCGATGACTAGGATTCAATTCAGCAAGTAACCTAATCAAGCTTGAATTTTAATTTATTGTAATTTTTAGATTCCAAAATTAGCCCTATTTACAATTCAACGTATTTTATGGGGCTTTTAAATTGTGCCCATTATTGTGATTTTTTTCCTCCAGCATATTGTATGCGAGTCAACCACCATTTACTATACGTTTTGATTATGTGTTTTCCTCTAGCAAATTGTATGGGATAGTCATCATATTATTTCCCTATTATAATTTACCTTTTTTTTTAGTGGATAATAATTTACCTATTGTATCCCTAACATATTTAATGTACCTATTTTATTTTATTGATAATAGGTATATTATCCATAACATATTAATGTACCTATTTAATCTTATGAATAGACAGTAATGGATAATACTCCGAGCTAGGGGTATTAGGTAAAATCCCAGCTAGGGATAAAATCCTAGTGAATGAATAAGAAAATCTACAATTATGCCCTATTTTTTAGTTAAAATTTAGTTGAAAACACACAAAATTATTTTAGTAGCTCTCTAAAAAATTTGAACTCCAATCATATTTCCTAATTTAGGGAGTCATAAACATTAATTAAAAGTTACATAAAACAAAGCAGCATTAAATTATAGGAAGCCACTAGGAGTCATTTCTCTCTCCTCATATTTAGGAGCTCCTAGAGGTCTCCCTATTTTAGGAGGTGGACAAGGAGCATGGTTGGAGTTGTATTTTTCCAATTCCTCCATAAAATTTGACTAAGGATGTGGTTTTGGGAGCCCATTATGGATGCTCTAAGTACGGTATGAATAGGTACATAATGGATAATAATCTCATCTGGGTATATTAGCCATAACATAACATATACAGAAGTGTTGAATGGGATATATATATATATATATATATATATAATTGAAGGATATTAGGTAAAAAATGGAGATTCATTATTATACTCAATATAAGGGCTCAAATTATAAATAAATAAATAAAAACCCTACATGAAATGGACTTTAGAAACACACCCAAAGCCCATTTACAACATAACAAAGATACTTCAAACTTCTTATAAATTACAAAACTGTCATCGATTCCTTAAAACAAACCCAATCCCAAAACCTCATAAATAAAAAACTCAAAACACTCAATAGGCATCAAAGTAATTTAATAATCAAAATTAAATTCAATAGGACCAGTTGTCATTTTTTGGATTTCTTTATAGATTTTAAATGGTGTAGGGTTTATCTATATCACTAGTGCTAAAAATGGGTATATAACTAAACATCTAGGGTCATACTAAAATAGGTCCTTGCAACTCAAAAATCATATACAATAACTCAACAATAATATAACATTTAAGTAAAACCCAATTTTAAAAGGGAGTTTCACTAAAACACCCAAAATGGGAGCTGAAATTATAAAAAAACCCAACACCCAAAACACTTTATAAACACACCCAAAACCCATCATTACACACACTCAAAACCCATTTATAAACACACCCAAAAAATATACAATTGTTGATTTTGGGGTTGATTTTGGGTGTGTTTCTATGTTTAAATAGTGTTTGAGTTTTTTTTATAATACATGTCTAGGATTGGGTTTATTTATAAATTTGTAATTTTAAAATTGGATGACAATGTGTCCATGTAAGTTGATTTATTTACAAATCATGCCACTAGATCTGTGGGTAGGAGGTTCTAAGGGAGTGTTTGATATAGACCCTTGCAACTACTATATCCTAGTCGTATTACCCACCTATTTTTAAATCTTTACTGAAAACCCAAATTTAAAATTGAAAATAGGTTTCCATGTGAGATAGATTTGTCCTAGTATTATTAACTAAATTACAAATCATGCCACTGCAAAACATTTATAATTTTTCTACTATTTAAGTAAATTTAGGTTTTAGCTACAAAAAAACTTTCACTTTTGGAAAAAGCCAAAACTTTTCCAAAAAATACAGAAAAACCCCTTAACTTTCAAATCAAATACATGCAAATGTAAGGAATTCCTTAGGAAATCCAAAAATAAATAAGGGCATTTTTGTCCATTTTGGTTTCTTTTCAAAATATTTCTCTCTCCTTTGGCCTTTTCCAAAATGTCCCCCCACACTTTTCTTTGTTCACCCCAATACTTAAACCATTAAGCTCTTAAGTTTTGTTATTGTGTAAAAATACAAAAAAGGTCATCCAACTTAATACTTAACCCTAGTACATTTATACACGCACCTCACACACTCCACCACTCTTCATATTAAGATTTAGAAAAACACGAACTACTCTACACCCTATTGCCAGATTACTCTTCTCTTTCAATCCCAAAAACCTAATACACTCTCATCTTCTCTTCACAAACCCTAATCTCAGCTTTGAATTAATATTCATAATATAATAAAGCTGCAATATGGTTCACATGTACAAAAAAGAAAAAAAAAATTTGAGTAAAGGACAATGAGCAGGATTAACAACCTAAATAAAGAAGACATAAATATGCCAATGAAGTGTCCATTAGCAGAATCTAACCTTTGAAAACATTTATGTCATTGCAGTGTCCATTACCATTAAGCAATTACGGCCAAGTGAGGACAACAAACTTGAAAAGAAAAAAAAAGCATTCCATACTAAAATTACGAAGTTTCATGTTGGGAAAAACAAAGTAATATCTAACCTGTAATTGAGTATACAGATATGGGAGCCCTCCTATGTAGAAATAACAAAATTACAAAATTCTTCAAGTTTTTTTGTTTTGTTGTTGTTGTATATTTAGGGGTAGTTTGGGCAGATAGTGGGGTTTTTTAAGAAATTGTGAAAATTTGAATTAGAAGTCTGGGTGAACAAAGTATGGGGTTTAAATAGAAAAACTCAAACATTTATCCAAGCTATAGGAGGTTAGGAGGGAGTATTTGAACTAATTTTATTGTAGTCTATTTATTATAGGAGTGCAAACATAGATGTGCATTGAGAGGTGGGTATTATTTATTTGCATAAAATTAGGGAATGTAAAAAAGTCAGGCGCTAAATAAAGATCTAGTGGCATAATTTGCAAATAAATCAACTTACATGTACGCATTTTCATCACATTTTAAAATTGGGTTTACTTAAATGTTGTATTATTTTTGGCTTATCGTATATGATTTTTGAGTTACAAGGACCTATTTTAGTATGACCCTATTTAATACAAGTTCGGATCCTCTCTCGATATCTTGGGTACACCTGATCAAGGCGATTGCTTTTAACATTTGAACTATACGATCTTTGAAAAAAAAAAAAAAAAAAAAAAAAAAAAAAAAAACACTTTAACTAACCAAACTAACTTAACCTCAAAACGACCTAATCATGTGTAATATATCAGTACTAAGTGCCCGTTTGACATTGCTTATTTGGGGCTATAAATGATTTTTTTGAAATTTTTGAAAGCCCAACCTATTTGGTAAAAGATAATAAAATCACTTATTTTTAATAATTGATGTGAGATAAAGCAATTAGGGAAAGCAGGTGATGAGCTGCTTTCATTATTGATTATGAAGGAATTAGTTTTGAAGAGGCGCTGGGTTTAATGAAACTTTCAAAATTCCAAAAATAACCCCATGTTTTTTTTACCAACCGCACTTCTAACAAAAAGTTTACCAAACGCCAAACTGCTTTCTTTCATAGCTGATTTCTCTCACAGCAAATCTGATAATGATTATTTTTACAGCACATCAACGCCAAATTAACCCTAAAATATGTAGAAGATTAGGAAGAGAATGTGAGCAAGGAGAAGGAGAGAAAGGAAAATACTTGAGTGTTCAATGCTGAAATGTTTTGTTTGTAACTTGGCGCAGGTCCATTTTCACTCATGCGATCCATGGTACAATTGGTTCTTTGTGACAAGCATGGAGGTCTGTTTAATCAATCAATTCACACACATGCCTTGTACGCATTAAAAATCACATTTATTATTAGATACAATAAAAACAAAAGTTAAATCATAATCATATAATGTATAAAATATAAAATAAATTATAATTTCTCTTGGTGATTATTATATACCGTAGAAGAAGCAATATGCCATCACAAATAAATAAATAAATTTTAAAACATAGAAGAAATGACTCACTAGTGTAGTAGTTTGGAGTATTTATTCCCTTAGATAAGGTTCTGGGTTTGAGTCATAGCATTCGTGTAGTGTGTGTAAATTTAATAGGGAGTTTCACTAAAACACCCAAAATGGGGGCTGAAATTATAAAAAAACCCAACACCCAAAACACTTTATAAACACACTCAAAACCCATCATTACACACACTCAAAACCCATTTATAAACACACCCAAAAAATATACAATTGTTGATTTTGGGGTTAATTTTGGGTGTGTTTCTATGTTTAAATAGTGCTTGGGTTTTTTTTATAAATACATGTCTAGGATTGGGTTTATTTATAAATTTGTAAATTTAATATGCTATCGTCCCTCTCAATAGGAAAGGTCCTCCAAAAAAATAAAACACACAGAAGAAATAAGCAAAATAAAAAGGGCATCCTTTTCACATTGAAAATAATTAGCTGTAAAGTAAAGCTGCTCAATGTTTGGTAAACAATATTTTTAAAGTGCTGTTAGTACAAAAAGTAGTGTCAAAACTGTTTGGTAAATTTTAATATAAAATTATTGTAACTGTGAATAATGACTAAAATAAACATGATGTTAAAAGTGTTATGTACTAATCATGTGGTTGTAGTGGTAGTGATGGAGTGAAGGTAGTGGTGGTGATGAAGGTGGAGTTGGTGGTTATGGTAGTGGTGGTGGTGGTGGTGGTGGTGTGGTGGTGGTGGGGATGGCGATTGTGGAGGTGGTGGTGGTGATGATAGTGGCAACATGGTGGTGGTTGTGGTGTTGGTTATGGAGGTGGTAGTGGATGTGGAGGTTTTGGTGGATGTGGAGGTTTTGGAAGAGGAGGTGGTGGTGGTGGTGGTGGTGGTGGTGGAGGTGGAGGTGGAGGTGGAGGTGGAGGAGGTGGTGGTGAAGGTGGTGGAGGAGGTGGTGGTTGTGGTGGTGGGGGCAGATGATGAGGAGAAGAAGGATATGGTGGTGGTGGTGGTGGTAGAGTTAGTGAATGTGATGGTGCAAGTGGCGGTGTTGGATGTGGAAATGGAGGTGGTGTCATTTTTTAAAATGAATGATGGTATTTTGGGAATTAAAAAAATTCATTAAAAGTTCATCTCGGATTCTTTTGAAAGCAGCTTTGAAAAGCAACCCAGAGCCTGCTTTTAAAAACTGTTGTAAAAAAGCCACTGCTTTTAAAATAATCGGGATATTTTATTTTATCAAACACCTTAAACTGTTTAACTTTAAAGTGAATATTTTTGGCTAAAAAAAGCAATCCCAAACGGGCCTGCGTTTGCTTATAATATATAGATGCTCTCCTCCAAAATTCGAAGATCCACAATTTTTCTTCGTGGGCCAGCCTGACCCAGCCCAAAATTGAAGAGACTAGAGCCCATTTGAACTTGTTCGGAGCAGACAAGGGTCGCCCGACCCGTTCACAGCACTATCAGGGTTTCAATAAACCTTTTACTCCCTTTCGGCGTTTCCCTCGCACAAAAACTTCTCTCGAGTGTTCTGAAGTCCTCTTCCTCACACACTCAACAGTTTCAAACAGATCTCAACATCACCATGCAAGCCCCAGTACTCGTCCTGAGTAAGCTTCCTTTCTTCTTCTTTCTTCCCTTTTCAAGTTGCAGTTACTTTAAAGTTTAGGTTTTGAATCTGTCTTTTATCTGGGTATGCGAAAAAGCTTAGGTTTTTGTGTTGTTTGCTGCTTTTGAGGATGAAATTTAAGTTACATTGAAAGCCCATTTGCTTAGTTTCACTGATCTTGCTTGTTTCAACTGATTTGAGCAGAAGATTCATTGAAGCGTGAGTCTGGGACTAAGGTGCACCATGGTAATATCCAGGCATCAAAGGTATGATCAAGGGCACTCCATTTTATGAATCCAAACATTTGATTTTGTGTGAAAATGTAAATCCATAGTTTTGTTCGTTCGAGGGAAAATAATATTTTTGGTGATGAAGTCTTAGAGAGAAATTTATTGGAGAATCTAATAAATTTGTAAATGGGTTTTGTTTTTTAAATGTTAATGGAGTAGATAAATTTGAAAAACTCTTTAAATTGGAGTTATTTTACATGTGCCGTAGTGTCTGAGCCTTGTTTTGGTTTATGTAGCTTAGTACCGGGTGAAAGACTTACTGAAAAAGAGGCTGTTTTAATTGCATGTTTTATACCTAAAACTTAATTGATATGAAATTCATCTGAAATGTGTGTTTTAATATTTGTTTTCAATGTAATTTAATTGCTGGACGGGTTAACATGAGTGTTAGCCTTCTCACTATGAAAATGTTAAGCATTTAAGCGTCTCAGTTGTGGATGCTCTTTATGAGAAAATATTTTTGTGTTTCACTTGTGTTTACTTTTTCAGATTATTAGTATTTTGGGTCTCATGGCCATAAGCATTTTGATAATGACAGGCTGTTGCTGACATAATCCGTACAACCTTGGGTCCTCGATCCATGCTCAAGATGCTACTTGATGCTGCTGGAGGTAATCCTTTTGTCTGCAGTAGACAAATTTTATTGCTTTCCTCTGTGGTTTGGAAGAAATAAAATATACTGTTTTGTTTTCCCTCAGTTTTTAGGACCCAAATAAGCCCTTGTTGTAGGTGGCAGTATGTTAGTTGCTGCAATTGCGTTACCTTGTATCCCATAAGTTATTTTACTGTTTTTATAGGCTGGTTCTATTTTCATTTAAGTAAAATTAATGTTACTGGTTGCCTCATGTATCTATTTCATGGGTCTATGGCTTTTGTCTTGGTCTTGATGAGTTTGCAATACGCTAACAAAGTTGTTTCCCTCATTGCTAACAGGAATTGTGGTGACAAATGATGGAAATGCCATTCTGCGTGAGTTAGATATTGCACACCCAGCAGCAAAGGCATGCCATTTGTCTCAAAATGCTCCTTTCTGGATCTAATTTTTTTTTTTCTCAGTGCAAAAATTACTCTCTCCTTAATTTCTGCTTTCTTTCTCCCCTGTGTTTTACCATATTATTTTCTCCATGATCCCTTACTTTTGTATGTGACCCCCCTCCTCATTTTAATTTTCTTGTTATTCTTACCTTTGCTCTTTTAAAATTTGTGATGATAGTCAATGATTGAACTAAGTCGCACACAAGATGAAGAAGTAGGTGATGGAACTACGTCTGTCATTGTCCTTGGTATGGTTTGAGCTTTATTTATTTATAAACAACTCACTGTTCATTTATGGGCTATAGTAACATGTTTATTACTTTTTGGTGTATATTCTTGTTCAATCTCGTTTCTACTGAGATTTTTATTTTAGACTTGGTAAATAGTTGTTAGATATATCTGGCGAAGAAAAAAATATTGCTTGGTAAGTAAGTTGATGATATACAGAAATAGGTTTAGCTTGCAAAATAATTAATATGTATCACTGGATTTAGTATGATGGAAGAAGGTGATTATGCATCTTTCTATCTACTGGATATGTCAATGCATTATTATATGTATATAAAGTTGGTTCTGTGTCTTACATTTGGAATGAAATTTTGGTGTAGCTGGTGAGATGCTCCATGTTGCAGAAGCATTTATTGACAAGCATTATCATCCTACTGTCATTTGCCGAGGTAAGTTGAAAGAAATTATGATAACATATTCCCTTCAATTTTCTTTCAGTTATAGTTTTGGATTTGATTTTGATGTGTGATTTATTCTTTTCGGTATTGTTTTTGTCTACTTTTCTTAATTTTCTGTTTTTTGGTTGTAGCATACAACAAAGCTCTGGAGGATGCTATTGCGGTTCTTGACAAAATAGCAATGAGCATTGATGTGAAGGATCGTAAGTTCCTTTAGTTTCTTGTCCACTCATAATCAAATTCTCTATCTGCATTGTATTTGTATTTGGTGCCCAGACTATAGGTCTCAAGTTCTCAGTTAATTTACTTATGTGAGAATGTAATGTCATGCATCAGTATATATAAATAAAATCAGGGGTACTATTCCTTGTGCTCAATTAGATCCATTTTCGGTTTGATGTTGCAGCCTTAGATTTTACTTAGTAGAAAATGGGGAATAGGCGTAGCTTAACTTTAAAATTTAAAGCACCAGAAGGGAAAAAGCCAAGTTGGACACACATAGTTCTATGCCCATTGCAATTGTAGCTGCAATTAAAGCACCAGAAGGGAAAAATCCAAGCTAACATTACAGAAATGTTAGCTTCATTCATATGTATTGAATTTGGAATGTGCATAGTTCTATGCCCATTTGCAATTGTAGCTTCATGCGGAATAATACTTTCAGTGCCGGTTGTTATTGATGATAACATCCATTGTTAATCATTGCAAACCTGTCAGTGATTTGAATATCCTACTCGTAATAATAATCTGCCTTAGGTAATGATTTTTTAAAATGTCCAGTTTGCTGTACTGGAATATAACTTACGTACGCTTTATGTGGCAGGTGCAACAATGTTGGGGCTGGTCAAAAGTTGTATCGGTACAAAGTTCACTAGTCAATTTGGGGATTTAATTGCTGTAAGTGCTTGTCTAAATAAAGTTTTGCATGTAGGTCTTTCTTCTTGTTTAAAGGTTTATGACTATTATGATTCTTCATCTAGGTAGACTGTAAAGTGGTCTATGAAGGACATACTGACAAACTTTTTAAAGGAAAATGCTCATATTGCCCCAAAACATGAGACACTTGAACCAAAAATGAGCTTTAACCATGGATTTTCTAATTTGAATTCTTGCCCTTCAGCATTTTTATTTGTTTTTATTTTTTATTATACAAATAAGATAAACCATACTTTGTCTTTTATGTTTCCAAGATTTCTTAAGACATTCAAGTTAATGACACTCATGCATGCAAGTTTATTCTGTATGAGAATGACTTTGCATCCTCTTCTAAGTGGAAAGCTCCGGATTTGATTTCATGTTTTCCAACATTTTTGTCTTTTATAGTATGTCTTGCACTTGCTTGAGCCGCCTTGGCACTGAGAATCAACTTGAAAAATTCAATTAAACTGGTCTTCAGAGTAAAAGTAAACCGGCTAACTCTTCAATTAAATAAAAACTTCAAACTTGGATTCATGTCCCTGTATGTAGTGACAATTACTGTGAACCTAAAAATCAGGAAGTGTGAACACTTTGTCTCTCTTAGATCTGACCATATATTGATATGCTATTGGTATGCTAAGTATGTGTTGGATTTTCTTTTAGGATTTAGCACTTGACGCTACCACAATAGTAGGGGTGGACCTTGGCCAGGGTCTGCGGGAAGTGGATATTAAAAAGTACATAAAGGTTGAGAAGGTTCCTGGTGGCCAGTTGGAAGATTCAGTGGTTCTCAAAGGAGTAATGATTAACAAAGACGTTATTGCACCTGGAAAAATGAGAAGAAAGATTGTCAACCCACGCATCATTCTTCTTGATTGTCCTCTTGAATATAAGAAAGGCGAGAACCAAACAAATGCTGAGTTGCTTAAAGAAGAAGATTGGGGAGTCCTGCTAAAATTGGAAGAAGAATACATCGAGAGCCTATGCGTGCAAATATTGAAGTTTAAACCAGATCTGGTTATCACAGAAAAGGGGCTTAGTGACTTGGCATGCCATTATTTTAGCAAGGCCGGCGTCAGTGCAATCAGGAGGTTGCGGAAAACAGATAATAACCGAATTGCCAAGGCTTGTGGGGCTGTAATTGTTAACAGACCAGATGAATTGCAAGAGTCTGATGTTGGTACAGGCGCTGGGATATTTGAGGTTAAGAAAATTGGTGACGAGTTTTTTGCATTCATTGTTGATTGCAAAGAGCCCAAAGCATGTACTGTACTCTTGAGAGGTCCTAGTAAGGATCTCTTAAATGAAGTGGAAAGGAATTTGCAGGTATAATGGTTTTACTTCTTTGTCCCCATTACGTAGAATAAATATAGTATGCTGAAATTTGTTATTTACTCCCTTATATCTGGTCATAGGATGCCATGTCTGTAGCAAGAAACATCCTCAAGAATCCGAAACTTGTTCCTGGTGGTGGTGCTACAGAGTTAACTGTATCTGCTACATTGAAGCAAAAGAGTTCATCTGTAGAAGGTATAGAAAAGGTAAAAGCTCCTTTCCTCATCCAAAAGTTTGGTATTTCTTGTGTAAAACTGGTCCAAGAATAACTCCTTGTGGAAGTAGAAATCTAAATTCTATTAATAAACTGGCTGTCACTTCACTTCACATGCTCTTTGACATACTTAAGATTAAGAATTAGTTGTGGCTTCACTTTACATGCTTTTTAATGGAGTTTTATGGCTACACGTGTTTTGATGGTAAAACAGTGGCCCTATGAAGCTGCTGCTATAGCTTTTGAGGCTATACCACGTACTTTGGCTCAGAATTGCGGGGTGAACGTGATTAGAACAATGACGGCACTGCAGGGAAAGGTTTGAATCTGTTTTGTATGGCTTTGTTCTGTTTTACCATGACTTGTCATTTCTATATACGTTCTGATGCATAATTATTTTTTTGGTCAGAATATGATGCATCATTTATATCCTAACCACAATTTTTTTTCCATAGCATGCAAATGGTGAAAATGCATGGATTGGCATTGATGGTAACACTGGTGCGATAACTGATGTGAAAGAGAAAAAGGTAGGTGGATATCTTTTTGACTTACTATTGTTGCCCTCTTTTATTTCCTTCACTATCTCAATATTCAAATTTGTTGGGTGATTGATATTTTGTGAAAGCTCTCAAATAGGACTTTTACTGTAGTATTGTTCTCAAGTGTATCCATTATATGGAAATCATCTTGATATGGTGTCGATATTATTGATATATGTCCCATTATTTCAATAGAATATAGCCCACATAGTCTTGATATTGCATAAGCGTCAATATTCTGGTTGATATTTTCGATTTGCTTCAGTAGTAGTTCTAGTTTAGAGCTTCTCCCAATATATTTAGACGGCACTCATGTGAGGGGAAGTGCTGTTGTCGTGGTTATTACTAAAGTGAACGCCATTGCTCATAATTGAGCATCCATGGAGTCTTGAATCTGAAATTTCTTATGTCGGTAAGGCTGTTAATTTCTAGCAATTATGATGTCAGATATGGGATGCCTACAACGTGAAGGCCCAGACTTTTAAAACTGCCATAGAAGCTGCTTGCCTACTTCTCAGAATCGATGACATTGTGAGTGGGATCAAGAAGAAGCAGCCTCCTGGTGCCAAAGCTCCTTCGAAGCCTCAAGTTGAGACAGAAGGTGATGCAGATAATGAGCAAATAATTCCCGAGTGATTATCTAGAGCACACGGTTTCCTCAGTTTGAATGAAGTTTTGCTTTAAAGAAAGAAAAAAAGGAGCATTATAAGTTTGATGAGGATATTTTGTAGGTTTATAATGTCACCTTAACTTGGTAGTGTGTGTTTTGTCTCTCTTCTTTCTTTCTCAATCCGCGAGGGGTGGGAAAGAAAGATAAGTCGTCTTATTGGAGAATGCTAATGTTAGTTTGCCATGTCATCTGTGTATCGAACACAATTTATTTGTTGAACTTCTGGGATTGGCACAATGGCCCTTATTTCAACCATTCTGAATGATAGTTAACAGTAGAAACTTGGTTATTGACAAAAATGTAATTTTCTCGAAGTAAGAAAACAAGAAGTTTTTCATGACCAAGCATCAATTTTAATAAGCCATTGTGGCACCTAAAGCACACAACATACCGCACTGTACGCAAACTTGTGGAGGATAGAATTGATATTGACCATCAACATTATCAACTTAGGGAGAGTAAGAATTGATCTTGGCCGTTCATCAAGAGAGGAGAGCTTCACAGACGGTGGGCAGAACAACTTCATGCATACAGCAAACATAAGGCACGTGTCAAGTTTAACTATAGACTTGTCACTCCCATTTGAAGCCAATCTGCCACGTATTGATTCAAACCAGAGTTTATAAATGCAACGAAAGCAGATCAAAAACCCTAGACACAGGGCTAGCTGATGCAAGTGAAAATGGCAAACAGCAAAGATGACATAATGTATGGGACTTCACAAGCGAGGCTGAACGAGGATGAAGCTGTGAGGGTTGCATACAAGCATGGGACGCCTCTTGAAGGAGGCAAAATTGCTGATTCTGAGCCTGTGGATTTATTTTCCAGTGCTCATAATATTCCAAAGGCTCAAGCTCAGGCTCATCATGATGTTCATGATGAAGATTCTAATCAGAACCAGTCCCAGATAAAACAAGATGATCTTACTAGAAGAGAAGGTGGTCCAGAATCTGCTGCTAGTAGTACTAAATAGAAGCCTTTCCACTTTCTTTGTGCATTTTTCTTTTCTCTTTTATATATTCCGAAATTCCTTCTGCTGCTGCAGGTTTTCTCTTTGTTATGTGCTCGTTGTTGTATGCTTTGAGTCGTAAGTTTTCTCCTTTCTTCTTTCCTCTCCTTGTGTGTATTTGAGAGTGAGATAGAAAGAAAGAGGCGACAATTGGAATGAAATGTTGGACAAGAACTCAAAATGATTCTACTTCTATAGACACAAAAGAAAGAGGGAACAATAAAAAAAAAATCAATAGAAAAAGTCTTAGCGGTTGAGTCATGTGACCTCTTGACTTGAAATACAATGAGAAAATGACAAGAAAATATTACTTAACACCTATTGTTTATAGTTTATAGTAAAAGGGGGAAAATGGAGATATGTTCAGGCAAGTTCATGCCAGAAAATTTACTTGGTAGTGCTATAATGTAACCTTTCTTATCAAGTTCATGACAGTCTTGAGATACAGATATTTAGCTGTGAGGAACATATGTGTTATAGAAACAATGGAACATGTGTTGTAGAAATCTATCAGGTTATGTCCTGAGAGAATCTGTCCGCAAGCATTTAAATCCTACCGAACACATTAATAAACCAATAAACAATCCCATCTAGCAACTTTGTACTATGGGAGCCTTTAAATCCTTGACAAAAGAATCTGTCAGCTTTTTTTGGGTGGTCGGAAGAATCTCTGAGCTATAGCCACCAATCAAAACTACAAGTCTCGTCTTCGTAAAATCCCACCTAACTAAACTAACTAAACTAATCACTCACAGAAGAAGTTGTTTTCCATATGCAGTAGGCCACAGACTTGGAGTTGGTGTGTATATGTATATATATTAATTAAGAGTGGTGACTCTGCGTCTTTAAATAGAGGTCTTTGCAATGAAACTCTCAAGTGTGAAACAAAAGATGGCTTCAGAAATCAAAGTTGAAGTCATTCGCAAAGAAACAATTAAGCCATCTTCTCCAACTCCTCACCACCTTAGAACTTCCAGTCTCTCTGTTTTTGATCAGTTACAACCTGAAATGTATATCCCATTACTTCTCTTCTACCCCAACAATATTAGTGATGATGTGGTCAACAACATTGATCACAATTCCTTGTTTGCTGAAAGATCTAAGCTTCTCAAAACATCATTATCTGAAGCTCTCACCCAATTCTACCCCTTTGCGGGGGAGTTCGAATATAATGTTTCAATCAGCTGCAATGACCATGGGGCTAGATTTATTGAATCCCGAGTCAACTGTCCCATACGGAAGGTTTTGGACAAACCCGATTTCGGGATTGTTAGATTTAGGGGAAACAACGTGATTTTATTAGATTGGAGGAGGATAGTACAAAGCATGGTTTTATTAGATTGGAGGAGGATAGTACAAAGCATAGTGTAGGCTAATTGGCCTTCTACACTTAGCATATTAGCTTATTGGAAACTACACTTAGATTTGTTTGGGCTATTTGGCCCTACACTTAAATTAGTTTGAGCTATTTGGCCCTACACTTAAATTGATGAGCTTATTGGCTCCTCAACATAGATTGGGAGTTGATTGGTTCACTCCCCCACATGCATGACTTAGTTTGGGTCGGGTAGCTTGTAGCACCCTAATAGTTTGGGAGTTCTTTGTTAGACTCCACTTTGTATGAGAATAAGCATGCCTATTTATGGGCTTTGATTGCCGACATTACCAAGTCCCACCGACTTGGTCTCTCGCTCTCCTAGCCACATATTTGGCTTTGACTAGAGACTTCTCCACAATTCCTTGCTGCATGCTTTTCTTGGTTTTTCTGGAACATTCTTCAAACTTTAGTTGTGTTAGCCAACATTCCTTTTCTTCAAGCTTCTAGATTTTTCTACAAATATGCATTAATTTCAACAGGGATCCTGGAACAGTTGATTCCAATTGCAATAAAATCCGAACACGTTGAAGCAGGGCATCTTCTACTAGTCCAGGTCAACTTGTTTGAATGCGGTGGATTGAAAATTGGGGTCAGCATTTCACATAAGGTCGCCGATGCCTCTGCACGCGTGTTGAAGTAGTGTCTGCGCTCATTTGGGAATGCGCGTTGCAAGCATCAAGATCAAACTTGGGTTTTACAAAGCCATCCACGTGGAATCAAGCGGTGAACATGAGGAAAATATCAGGGCTTGCCATGGCAGAAAACATATTGGGGAACTTTGTTTCATTCTTTACAGCAATGTCTACGGAAAGTGAAGTGGAACTTGAAAGCTTGGTTCATAAGTTGAGGAAGGGCATTGAGGAATATAAACAAAAGTATGCTAATGGATTTAGTGGAGAGGATGCACTTCAAGCCATCGAAGGGCTTAAGAATCTCATAATGAACGATAGCACTGAGACCTATGGTTGCACTAGTTGGTGCAGGTTTTCTTTCTACGAAACCGATTTTGGTTGGGGAAAGCCATCATGGGTGACTTTCTCTAGCAGTGAATCCAAGAATACAACTTTATTGATGGACACGAGTGATGGCGTTGGCATAGAAGCGTTGTTGAGTTTGGAAGAAGAACACATGGCCATAATTGAACGCAATGAGGACCTTCTTGCGTATGCTTCTCTGAATCCGAGTGTCGTTTAATCAGTACCCGCTTATACTTCTTAGAGGGATATGCTTTTGTGGATCTTCGATGATATATCTCATAATTGTTTAGATGTTGGTACCATATTTGTGCTTCATTGCATTTTCCCCTTATTGGTTTTGTTGTTTATCATGTTGTTTTCAATTCAATAATGCTATTTAGATATTTAAGATTGACCACATTAATCGGCCACCTTATGCGGCAGCTGACGTCTGCTTTTTTTCATAACCTTTCTTCTCAACCTAATTGTCACATCCTGGGATCGGCTCCGCCGTAGCACGATATTGTTTGCTTTGAGTCCCCCTCTCTGCCCTCACAGTTTTGTTTCTGGGAACTCACGAGCAACTTCCCAATGGGTCACCTATCTTGGGATTGCTCTAGCCCTAACTCGCTTTACTTCGGAGTTCCCATGACTCCGAAGCCAGTGAGCTCCCAAAAGGCCTCGTGCTAGATGGAGGCGGGCATGTACATATAAGGCACATCACCCCCTCTCCGTTGGTCGATGTGGGATGTTACAATCCATCCCCCCTTAGGGGCCCTACGTCTTCATCGGCACAATCGCACAATACGGCAGAGTGGCTCTGATACCAAATTGACAGGACCCGCCCCAAATTCCTCAGAAACCGAGACGAATCCTGTGGAAATTACCAACAACACCTCGATGTCGGGCCTACGTCTGGAACCATATCCTCTTTTTCCGAAAAGGATTAAAGGCATAAGACTTTCTACCGAAATTTAGGCAGTCTCCCCTGTAAATTGAACATTTTCCAAAAATTTCAACATGCATAAAACACATTTAATATCCCAACTGGCAGCATGCACAATGTAGTTTCATGCAATTCATAATAATCGGCCTCCGGCCTTCAAACAATCCGAAATGAAACCAAACTACCAACAAAGCCCTTAAATCATATCCCAGGATCGGCTCCGCCGTAGCATGATATTGTCCGCTTTAGGCTCCCCTCTCCTGCCCTCATGGTTTTGTTTTTAGGAACTCACGAGCAACTTCCCAGTGGGTCACCCATCCTGGGATTGCTCTAGCCCCAACTCGCTTAACTTCGAAGTTCCCATGACTCCGAAGCCAGTGAGCTCCCAAAAGGCCTCGTGCTAGATGGAGGTGGGCATGTACATATAAGGCACATCACCCTCTCTCCGCTGGTCGATGTGGGATGTTACAATCCACCCCCCTTAGGGGCCCAACGTCCTCGTCGGTACAATCACACCACACGGTAGAGTGGCTCTGATACCAAATTGTCACATCCCGGGATCGGCTCTGCCGTAACACGATATTGTCCGCTTTGGGCTCCTCTCTCTGCCCTCACATTTTGTTTCTGGGAACTCAAGAGCAACTTACCAGTGGGTCACCTATCCTGGGATTGCTCTTGCCCCAACTCGCTTAACTTCGGAGTTCCCATGACTCCGAAGCTAGTGAGCTCTCAAAAGGCCTCGTGCTAGATGGAGGCGGGCATGTACATATAAGGCACATCACCCTCTCATCATCAATGCCAAGCCCTCCCTCTTCTTCCCTATTCACTGTTTGCTATGTCCTCCAATACAAAAGTAAGCCCCAATTTTCGCCTTCATATAAACATGACAAGAAAATATTACTTTAGACCTATTATTTATACTTTATAGGTAAAAGGTAGAAAATGGAGATATTTTCAGGCAAGTTCATGCCAGAAAATGAACTTGGTAGTGCAATAATGTAACCTTTCTTATCAAGTTGACATTCTTGAGATACAGATATTTAGCTAGCTATCAACGTAATACTAAAAGTGAGGAACATATGTGTCATAGAAACATGGAACATGTGTTATAGCAACAATGGAACATGTGTTATAGAAATCTATCAGGTTATGTCCTGAGAGAATCTGTCCGCAAGCATTTAAATCCTACCTAGCATATTAATAAACCAATAAACAATCCCATCTAGCAACTTTGTAGAGAGCCTTTAAATCCTAGATAAAAGAATCTGACAGCTTTCTTTTTGTGGTCGGAAGAATCTCTGAGCTAGAGCCACCGATCACAACTACGAGTCTCGTCTTCATAAAATCCCACCTAACTAAACTAATCATTCACAGAAGAAGTTCCCACCTAACTAAACTAATCACTCACAGAATAAGTTGGTGTATATATATATATTTATTAATTAAAAGTAAGACTCTAATATTATTATTAGAATGCTGCTATTTCCACCAATCTGTCTTATTTTTCCACCTTAAAAGTCATTTTTTAATTTTAAGTTGGTCGTCAAATCTCTCCAATTAGAGCAAACAATTGCTCTTTTCAGTCATTAGATTAAATTTAAATGACTCACAAGTTAACAGAAAAGAGAATTTGCTTGAATTAATAATTAAATGGTGTTTTAAGAATAATAGTAAGTGGAAAGATAGGATTGTGTTTTTTTCAAATTTATATGGTAGGTGGAAAGATAAGGTGGGTGGGAAAATATGACAGGTGGGTGGAAATAACAGCACTCTATTATTATTTTGTGACTTGCTTTTCTCCATAAGTCGCGTGGTGACTCTGCGTCTTTAAATAGAGGTCTTTGTACTGAAACTCTCAAGTGTGAAACAAAAGATGGCTTCAGAAATCAAAGTTGAAGTCATTCGCAAAGAAACAATTAAGCCATCCTCTCCAACTCCTCACCACCTTAGAACTTCTAGTCTCTCTGTTTTTGATCAGTTACAACCTGATATATATACCTCATTACTTCTCTTCTACCCCAACAATATTAGTGATGATGCGGTCAACAACATTGATCACAATTCCTTATTTGCTGAAAGATCTAAGCTTCTCAAAACATCATTATCTGAAGCTCTCACCCAATTCTACCCCTTTGCGGGGGAGTTCGAATATAACGTTTCAATCAGCTGCAATGACCACGGGGCTGGATTTATTGAATCCCAGGTCAACTGTCCCATTTCGAAGGTTCTGGACAAACCCGATTTCGAGATCATAGAACATTTGCTTCCAACTGCAGTAAAATCCAAAATCGTTGAAGCAGGGCATCTTCTACTAGTCCAGGTCAACTTGTTTGAATGCGGTGGATTGACAATTGGGGTCAGCATTTCACATAAGGTCGCCGATGCCTCTACACTCAGCACATTCATCAAAAGCTGGGCTACAATTGCCCTTGGCTCAGCCAGTACTGCTAGTGATCAAGTTCTGCTTCCTGCTGAATTTGGTGTTGCAGCCACTCTATTCCCACCACAAGATGCCTTCAATTCACCCCAACCGACCATGGAGTTGATTAAGGACAACTGTATAACCAAGAGGTTTGTGTTTGATGCCTCAAAAATTGCTGCTCTCAAGTCCAAAGCTGCCAGTGCCGCAGTGCCAAATCCTACGCGTGTTGAAGTAGTGTCTGCGCTCATTTGGAAATGCGCGTTGCAAGCATCAAGATCAAACTTGGGTATTACAAAGCCATCCGTGTGGATTCAAGTGGTGAACATGAGGAAAAGACCAGGGCTTGCCATGGCAGAAAACATATTGGGGAACTTTGTTTCGTTCTTTACAGTAATGACTATGGAAAGTGACGAAGTGGAACTTGAAAGTTTGGTTCATAAATTGAGGAAGGGCATTGAGGAATATAAAGGAAAGTATGCTAATGGAGTTAGTGGTGAGGATGCATTTCAAACCATCGAAGGGCTTAAGAATTTCATAATGAACGATAGCATTGAGACCTATGGTTGTACCAGTTGGTGCAGGTTTTCGTTCTACCAAGCAGATTTTGGTTGGGGAAAGCCATCATGGATGAGTTTCTGTCGCCTTGAATCCAAGAATACAACTTTGATGATGGACATGAGTGATGGCGTTGGCATAGAAGCGTTGTTGAGTTTGGAAGAAGAACACATGGCCATAATTGAACGCAATGAGGACTTGCTTGCGTATGCTTCTCTGAATCCGAGTGTCGTTTAATTAGTACCCTCTTATGCTTCTTAGAGGGATATGCTGTTGTGGATCTTCGATGATACCTCTCATAATCGTTTAGATGCTTTTACCATATTTGTGTTCATTGCATTTTCCCCTTATTGGTTTTGTTGTTTAACATATGTTGTTTTCAATTCAATAATGCTATTTAGTCACATAAGATTGACCACATTAGTTGGTCACCTTCTGTGGCAAGTGATGTAGTCATGCCATGTCAATTAAAGAATATTGCAATGTGAATTCTATTTTTATTTATTTCTCTTTTTTCAATAATCCTTAAAACCCAAAATAAAAAATAAAAAATAACACTTCCGTCCAGGTCTGTAGCCTGACGTTGGTTCGATTTTCTTCCTAACGGTCTCCACCCTCCCTTCCTCCATCAAATCTACCCATCCCCCATCCTCCGTGTCGTTGTAGAGACCTGGAGTTTCCTTAATAAAATTTAAATTGGGTTGAACAATTCAGAAGTCTACTCTTCTCCAAAAGCAAAGAAGTTGAAGATTGAGACCAGCTCTTAGTTTTGTTTCTTGAATCTGCAATTCTTTGTAAAATATGATTAGCGTAATTAGTTGGATCCATCATTTGTTGGTGGGTACTGGGTGCATATAGGCTCCAACTCAATATGATTATTCTAGAATTAACTAGATCGTCTCCAACTTAGTATGTTGACTGGTTTATATATGCTTAGCTTTTTGACGAGTTCCTTGTGTTTAAACCACAGATATTCAAGTGATCAACATAAGGAGAGACAATTATTCTAAAAAGATTGCAAGGGAGGAGAAGCTTAATGGGGAAAATAAAGTATGGCCAGAGATCAGGCTTTTCTTCTTATTTCTCTCCTTTTTAAAGGGAGATCAATCCGTCTCCCTTTTTACAAAACCATCTTCTCTATTTATAGGGGGAACCAAATGAATCAATTCACAAGTTGGCCACCTTGGCTCAGAGCTGAGCCGTTTGTGTCACATCAGATCTGTCAGATGATGGTGATATAACCATTATTTCATACATTTTTATTATCTTTCTCTTAGATTCTTGCTATGTTCTTGAGTGAGTTTAGTCCATTTTTACTTAGTTTTGTGTTTTACTAGGTTTGAAGAGTAAAGATGGAAAAGCAAGCAAAAGGAGCAATTTTGGGATTGAAATATGATGTGCAATCCTGGGAGCAGAATGTGCTGGGCAGAACTGTCAACTTGACAGAATATACCGTACTTCCTCAGAGCGAACCAGATGTTCAGCCTTATATCGTTGGAAAGATACAGATGTTAGCTTTCTGTAGAATTTTACGGTTCGTGATTTGGACGTGTGTGGAGAGAGTTGTGGCCATTTTAGTACAGACAGTTCGGGCAGAATGTGTTCCGCGGGTTTTGCAAAATATTCCTTTTGAAGTTCAATCCTTAGAGTCCAATTTATGTCAATTGCATTTGCAAAGTGTCTACAAGGATGTGGAGTTATTTTCTGAAGTCTGATACTATATCTAGTAGGATTTTGGATGCCAACTCATCAAAGACAATTAAAGCCAAACTAGGAAAACATAGTTACCAAGTCAAAAGAGGATTTGTTCCTTATTTAAAGAAGACCAGAAAATAGGGTTTTGGGATGTAGGAGTGAGAAGGAGAGTGAAAGAGTCACTGCCATCGTCAAGTTCTCGAGCATCGTCATAATCCATAAGTTTTACTTTATGTTTTCTAGTTTTTCAATTATGTTTTCTTTGAACATGAGCAACTAAATTAGTCTCTAGGGCGAGGATGACTCCCGAGCATGGATAATTATGATTTTTAATGTTATTTAATGGATTCTAAGTTTCTTTTAGATGAATGTTTAATCACTATTTTAATTGTTGCTATTTGTTTAAGTTCTTTGATTGATCACCTTAGGGCTTTGCATCTAGTAAATTGGAAGATGAATTTGAGGCGGAACACGCAATATTATTCAATTAGCTTCGTGTGATTAAGTGTGGTGAATTAGATTATTGTTTGATGAAGAATAATGGTTTGCTTGGTTCTCTCGTTTTCTAGAACGTAATGAATTCAACTTGTTAAATTTATGCCTTAACCATGATAGATTGCAGGATTGGATATATGATCTTTGTCTGAACTAGAAGAGAATCTTACACTTAAGGAAAACTATGGTCTGAGTGCTTGAAAATGACTTAGATATGGGAATTATCATATAAAGAATCGAAAGAATCTGTTGAATGCATTGAAATCTAACTTGGATTGCTTGTGGTTGATTCCGAAACCCTAAACCTTCATCATTGTTTTTCAACCTTAAAATTTAACCTTTTTTTTTATTCTTAATTGCTTTTATTAATTTCATTGTTTGTTTCATAAACTTTCACAACAACAATCCCTACAAATTTACTTGCGTATTAGTTAGATTTAATTTAGGTATTTGAATATTAGATTAATTTGGAATCCTCGTGGGAACGATACTTGGACTTGTCAAACGCTATACTACATCAATCTTGTGCACTTGCAAGGACAGACCAGACGGGTGGTCGAGGTTCGTCCACGTCCGCTGCTCATGATGACCCTTTCATACTTCTACTAGGGGGTGGGCATGGGCAGAGTAGTCTGTTACGCACGGAGGCAGTTCCATCTGGTGAGGTGGTGATCCGGGCGGTTTACACATGGCTTTCGAAGAGACGTGGGCACGCTTTATGAGGTACGGCGAGTCGGCGGTCAGAGGGCGTCTCTTCATCGACATGGATGATATGCATCCTCTTGAATTTCCTAAGGAGTTCGAGGTCGAAGGCGATTTGCTCTTTTCTTCTGGTGCAGTGCATGAGGCCCACGTGTTGTCTTTTTATTGGGTAGATGGGCTCAGTGTGTGCCAAGCGTCAACACCTTGCATGTGTGCAATGTAATAACCCGATCCTAAATTAATATTTAATTATTAATTTATTCAAATAAAAGACAATTTTACTCCATGAATATTTTAATGGTTTAAAAGTTGACTTTTCGTTCAAGAAGGAATTTGGTGATTTTAGTGGTACCGTTGCGTAGTGCACGTCGAGATGAGCCCGTAAACACGTAGTGGCATAATCGTAAATATTTTGAAGTCAGTTTTTAAAACCCAGCTGATTTCTTCTTTCTCTCACTCTCCACGAACAACAGTTTTCAAACGGAGATTTCTCCTCCGTCCCGCCACCAATTCTGATGCCACAACTTGCAAACTCTTCATCTCTCTTGCTCTCTCCTCTTCACATTCATTCCAATTTCTAGACCCAAATCCAAGGAATTAAACCCAAAATTCGAGCCAAACCAGACCCTGTTTTTGAAGCCGCGACTACCGGTTGTTCCAGTCTTTGCTCCGACCAACTTCGGCCACCACTGGCCGTGCAATCACACCCAAAACAATCCCCTACCTTCCCTCTGTGTTTTCCCATGAAGACCTGACTTGATTTCATCTTAAAACTGTCGAATCCAAACATATAAATTTCAAGGTTTTTCAAAGACAAAATAGTTTGTTCGAGGGTTTTAACAGTGGAATTGATCTTTGACAAAATGTATAAAGTTACTCCCCTTGATGTGCTTGATCTGTAGGTATGATTATTGGCCTGCGGTTTGGAGTTTTCCAATCGCTAGAAAATTTCTCTACACACCTGCCGGCAGTGGCGGTGCGTCGCAGCTTGTCAATAGTGTGTCAAAGTTGGGTTTTATTCCTAAAATGATTCCCATGTCGTCCTAAGCACGACGGTATGCTCGGATTTCAATTTGCTTACCGTTTGACTGTCGATCGGATATCGCATATTAGTCGTTATTTGAGTTTGATATGTTCGGACCGTTGGATCGACTTCATTTTCAGATATGTTGATCTAAGTATCTCTAGGATTGTATAGGAATTTGCAGATCGTGAATCAGAGTCCTGGATACTTCGATTCAATGAATCAAATATTAGGTTAAACGCTGACCATCAGGTCATACGGCCCTGAAAGATTCGACCGTTCAATTCGAACCAAACTTGCAGGACAGGTATAGTAAACCTTGTTGAACCCGCAGGGACTTTTGGATCGGAAACCGGAGGCAGTGGGCTCTACGGGCCTGTTTGACCATGTTTGGACAGTTTAACCCTCGATTGACCATGAGTCTTCCAAGGTAGTTTCACCCTTCGAGAAGTGCCAGAACGACCGTGTAAAGAAGGCTTGACTGTTTGTGAATTATTTTGATTACGTTTAGATTATGAGTTTATGTTATAGTGTTTTATGATATTCTTGGGTGTTATTCTGATATTCTAAGATTATCTTGTTATTTATTTATTATTATGAGTATTATTAAAGTATATGACTGGGTGATATTGGATTATTCAAATGTTTATGAGTTATTAGGTAATTGCTTTTACTCTATAAGGGTATGATACGATGTTTGATTGTGTAAAGTTGGGAACAGCTTATTAACTGGATTTTGGTGTGGACGAGAAATTAATTAAATGTCTTATTATATGTTTAAATTTAATATATATATTTAGTAACTTGAAAATTATGAATCATGTACACTAGTTCTTAAACATTTTAAATGTAGTTGAGAACTGATTTTGGAAAGTTTATATAAGAGTTGGAAAATGAATTTGTGGAATAAGGGAAAGTTTATGATAAGTTTCGGAATATGGTTTTCAAACCCACCACATGAGTACCCCCCCCAGTTGCCTTTGAAACAGTTTCTACTTTATGAAAATGCCCCACGAGTTTCGGGGACGCTTGGACTGTGTAAAGCGAGGATGTGCATTCTCAGACTGACTACATGTCCCTCGAGTTCTACGAGGATGTGTCACATTATGTGACACAAGGAATTGACGGTACGTGTAATTTGGGAAATAAATAAAAAATCATGGAATTGACGGTACATTATTGGAATTGATGGAAAATGGGTGGAATTGATGGATCACAAATGGGGGTACGCCTAGATGGAGAGTATTTTGGCTTTAAGAGGTTTAAACTAAAATGGATGGTTTCATCTTGATGTCTTTGAGTAGTAGTTTAATACCTATTTTCTGATTTTATGAGACAAGAATTGAAGGTTTCCAAGTTTTTCAGATTTTCTACAAATCACATCTATGCTATTTTATATGTGAAAGAGGGAAGCATATTTTATTTTAAATTGTGGGTATCGACATTAAGATTTGACGTGGTCAATGCTATTTTATTAATTTTATTGTTTTCCTACTGATAAGTAATATGTTAATTATAAATATATATGTGTATATATATATTTATTATGCACATGGGATGAATGGAAGATTGTTCTAACATCAATAGCCCTTAATTGAGTTTCAGTGGATGGATTCAAATTACTTATAAGTTTTGCTGAAAGAACTACGTATGGCTTGATCCCTTATAAGGGTACGTAGGCAACCTAGAGTTACTAGGTGTAGCCACAAGATCAAGTGCCAAAAATTTGTTCAGTTGCATTTTATTGGAAATTGATTAAGTATTCACATTATTCTAAGGGTTGAGTTCATATTCAGAGGGTGGAATGTTTTATTTGATTTATGGAGGCATGAGACCATTCAAAGTTATTCGTTTGATGCATGCTCAACGATTGTGATTTGTTTTTCAATATTAATGATATATTTATAGGTGGAAAGTTATTGGGAAAAAAGCAATTTACAGGGGAGACTCTGCCAAATTTCTAGTATAATTCAATCTTGAAAAAGAATTTTGAGACTTAATTAGAAGGGCAATTTGGTCAAGTGTGTCTGGCACCTGCCAGGTGGCAGACACGCACAGGGTTCGGCTTAGATTTCAAAGTAGAATTTGAGTTGGGTCCTGTCATGCAATGTCGATTTTCTCTTCTACTCCATGTTCTAGTTATGGTCCTCCATTATTTTCTTTTCGTATCCAACAATGGAGGATGGGGATGGATAGATTTGATGGAGGAAGAGAGGGCTGGAGACGTTAGGGAGAGTAGAGAACCAAAACTGCTAGGGTTACTTCTTTTTTTTTCATTTTTTTTTGGGTTTGAAGGATTATTGAAAAATAAAAATAAATAAAAATAGAATCCACATGACAATATTCATTAATTGACATGGCATGACCATATCAATTTGGTTGGTCATCAATTGGCCTTCAAATCAGTCATAATTTCCTCATTGATAAATACCATTAATTATAGCTGATTGCTTTAATTGCCTTGGTTGACCCAAAATGCATTTAATCCCCTTGATTCATGATTGTGATAAATACCATTAATCTAAATAATAATGCTCATTTCATTTTCAGTCCATCATGACCATCAGGTTGACATAATTCCCTTCTGTATGTGGATCGTAAGATGTGTGAAAATCCTCGTACGGATTCTCTCTTCTAATTTCAGCCTCGTCTAATTTTATGCATTCAACCGATTTTAGTCATTCGGCCGTGTCTACACATTCAACCGCATATAGGCTCTCAGCTACTTTTATGTGCTCGGTTGTTCTAGGCGGTCGGCTTTTCACATGCTCGGCCAATTTTACATGTTCGGTCGTATTTAGGTGCTAGTTCACATTTATAAATTTGGGCTTGTAGCCAACCTTATTGATTAGGTCAACTTGAACATAGCTGGGGCCCAAATGGTGATTTTTGGAATCGTTCGAGTATAATTTGACAAGACTCGCCCCGGACTCGTCGGAATCCGGGACAAATCTAGTCGAATTTCGGGCATCTTATCGATGCCTGGCCCATTTACTAAAGGCCGAGACTTTCTACCAAAATTTTGGCAAAGCCTCCCCTGTAAATTGTACATTTTCCCAAATTTTTAAACCTGTTAAAAACACAAATTATATCCCAACAAGCAGCATGTTTCATAAATACTTTAAACAGCTTACAATAAAGGCCTCCAGCCTTACAATTCAGACCCTAACACGGGCGATAACAAAGCAATTATAAGAATTTCAATTACAATAGAAACAAAGTTCAACGGAAATAACATGAAGCAAAGAATCCTACTGAGGCTCAGAGTTTAGAAGTGGAAATCTCGGCTCCGTCGTTCAATTCGAATAACACTACTGCCTGGGGGTGCAAACAAAAAGATGTGAGTGGAGAAAAACGAAGTTCAGCTCATAGTTGAAATCAACATAGTATAACCCCACCGTTTAGAAAACAATGCTAAAAACCAACATATTCATCAATACCACATATATATATATATATGTATATATAAAGTTTGGTAAAAAACCAGCCAAATCCGAAGTCCCACAATGAAACTTTATTAACCAACCCATCCAAACTTTTCCTTATAAAACCCAAACTAATCTCTCGAAACTTGTGCCCGTTGGCATGACAAGCTAGGAAGTATCCTAAGCATGCAGACTACCCATCTAAGGGTCTACGAAATATATATATATATATATATATATATATAAGGTAGGGGTGGTTGCGGTTCGGTAACCGCGAATTTTTACTCAAACCGCAAACCGACCGACTATTTGCGGTTTGGTGATTTTTGACGGTTTAAAACCGCAAGTTCTCAAGCATTCACAAAAATATAAATTCACAACCTAAATAAATAAATACACAACCTCAATTTCTCAAGCATATATAAATTCACAATCTCCTCAACTTCTCAAGCATTCACAACCTAAGAAAATTAAAGTTACAATTCCAAGCATTCCAATTAAAGTTAAACTTCTCAAGCATTCCAATTCCAAATCCTTTAAAGTTACAAACCAAAAGGAAAATGCAAAGCAAAATGAATTAAAGTTACAACCAATAAGAAAAATCCAATTCAAAGTTAATTAAAGTTACAAACTAAAAGGAAAATGCAATGCACCAATGTTACAAACTCAAGTGTTGGTGGTGAGTGGATTTGAAAAATCCCGTTGTGTTGTTTGAGCACCAATGTTATTTACAAATAAAACAACATAGTTTAGTACATTTTATTATAAGAAGAAGCATAAATAACATTAACATAAATAAACTAATTACTTATAAGTTGTCATATGTTTCATTTCCTTGTAGAAGTCAACCTCATCATCCGTGCGGTTATACTTTGCGGTTTGCGGTAACCGCAAGTTTTGAAAATCAAATACCGCAACCGCAACCGCAAATGCAGTTCGGTTCTTAATACCGCAAATGCGGTTCGGTTTACCGCGATTGCAGTTTCATTGCGGTAAATTGTCGGTTGATTTTTGCGGTTTTTCAGTTTTTCGGTTTAAAATGCCACCCCTAATATAAGGGTCTACGAAACACCCTGTCAAAGGTGCCCGGGTCCCGACATTTCCAAGTATCTCAAGTTTCCATACCCAAAGTTCCAAATCCGGGGAGGTACATAGGGTAGTGCTTATAGCACTTCAAACTGACATTCTAATCTCATTTCTTTCCACAACCTCACTTCCAAAACCCAAGTACCCCTCACATAGTCAAACATAAGTAGAAATTCTCAAGATCCCAAATATGTATTACAAATGCTTAATAAAAACATTAAGTTAAACAATTGAATATATAATATATTCAATAAATCATTAAAACAATATGCATAAATTTTCCATCATAAAACCATGCTTACTATTTGAAAACAAAGTCTACTCACAAGTATTCCCACGTTGCTTGACCTTGAAGGGGTCCCGCTTGCTGTGTGCGAGTAGCCAGAGCACCTATTTCAGAATATGGGTACGAAATTAATAAAAGCGCTTCGAAATAGAACTTTAAATTAAAATCCTAGTTTCCCGGGTTCTAAGTAAAGCACGAGGAATGAGAAGTTTCTAAAGTCCAACTATGTGTTTTGGATGAAGATATAGCCTCGGAAGACGTTCGGTCAACCGGGCAATCAAACTTCCCAAATTGGGTCAACCGGGCCCCCGGGACCCACGACCTCCGATTTCTGTTTTGGAAGTTCCTATGAGTTCCTCAAGGTTTACTAAGCACGTCCTGCAAGTTTGGTCTGAATCGAAAGGTCGGATCGCTCACGATCGTACGATCAGACGGTTATCATTCAATGCAAACTTTAAGTTATTGAATCGGAACATCCGGGGCTCCGATTCATGATCCACAAAATCCTACACAATCCTAGGAAAGCCTAGATCAACATATATTGAATTGGAGTCGATCCAACGGCCCGAACATATCGAACCCAGATAACGCCTAATATGCAATATCCGATCGACAATCAAACGATAAACAAATTCATATATGAGCATACCGTCGTGCTCGAGACGACATGAGGGTTATTTTAGGACTCTAAGACCGGCCAAAAAGTGGCCCAAGCGCCGCCACAAGTGCCGACAGCGCATGGATGTCCAAAGCGATTCCGGCGATCGGAAAAGCTCCAAACTGCCGGTCAAGACTTATACCTATACGTTCATCACATAGAGTGAAGCAACTTTTGTTCTTGGACCTACCCTAAAATGTCGACGGAAGTGGCCGGAAAGTTCAAATATCACCAAAATCTTGCACTAGTTTAGTTGCACAATCATAGTCTTCAACCCCCAAAAAAGAAATAACTAGCTAGAGTCAGAGTGAATATTCTAGGCAGGCGATACTTTGGACAGGCTCCTTTCCTTTCCTTTCCAATGAGTCTTCAGTGGTTCTTTGGTGATTAAACGCATGAGTTTTTATTGTGAATGTGGAAGCCATGAAGTGACAACTTTTTGCACATAGGGAAAAGATGAACTTGTTTCCAATAGAAGAAGTCTTAGCGGTTGAGTCATGTATCTTGACTTGAAATACAATGAGAAATATTTCTAATACTTCTTGGAATTGTTACTTTTTTTTTACAAAGCGATAATTTAAACTAGTATAAAGGAGATTGAACGCAGGGAGTAGCACTGTCTGACTAGCCTAGCCATGTTCGTATTTTTGGAATTGTTAACAGTTGAAAGTTATTGACCAAAAATAATTTTCGGGACCAAAATTGTTTGTATTTTTATTTTGCTTACTAGTGTTGCTCTTTTTTTATTTCCTTATGCCATCTCAATATTCAAGTTTGTTGGCCGATTGATATTTTGGGAAAAGCTCTCAAAATAGGACTTTTATAGTAGCATTGCTCTTAATGTTGAAGATTTGGCTCACCAGTTGATGTGTGAACAGCGCCGCATGTGATTTCGACGTTTTGGCGTGTTTTGATGAAGTTTTCATTATTTTGAGGTTTTCTAGCCTAATTAATAGGGTTTTGATGTTATATTCCTAGTAAACTTGTAACCCAAGTCCTATGAGTTATAAATAGGACTTTTAGGACTAGGTTAAATTTGCCTAGCTAAAGAGAGGCCCAGGAATTTAGAAGAGAGAATAAAATTCAAGAGTCGAATTTTTGAGAGAAACACAAGACAAAATTCAAGAGGGTGAATTCTTGAGTGTTTACAAGGACATCAAAGGGTTTGAGCAAGGGTGTGACATATTGGCACAAATTGTACCCACATGCATATTTGCTTTAGATGTCTTTGTTTATTTGCATAATTTGTAGTTGCCTTAATGTATTGCTAATATTGGAGCATTAATGTGAGGCAAAGTTGATTGGCAGAAAAAGCTAATTGGCAGATAAGGTGAAAAGCAAAGTTGAGTGGAAACACTTTCATCATCAGTATATGGCTTTTGCCTCTTGGACTACATGAGGGGGCAATATTGTTGAGCTATATAAGAGATAGCAGATGTGAAGTACAAAAGAAGAAGTGGGAGAGAAAACAGCAAGAAGCCATTCGGCTAGAGAGAAGAAAATTCTCTCAAATTGTTCTTTGCTTTGTATAACCGGTTTTCTCTTTCTGTTGTGAATATGTGAGCTTGGGTTATTTGGGTCTTTGGGAAATTGAGTGATAAACACTATTGTATGTTCTCATTGATTATAGTGGAATACTTTGTCATCTCCAAAATGGATGTAGGCATTGCCGAACCAGTATAAATCTTGGTGTTCTTGTTGGTGTTGTTTTTGCTCCTCTTATCACTTGCCAGTTGTTGTAATTTATTTTCACTCATAGTTGGTTGACGCTTCCGCACAACACGTGGTATCAGAGCTCTAGTTTCGACTGGGGTTTTCGTTTGAAATTGGTAGTGCTACAGTACCCGTGAACAGTACCTGTTCTATAATAGCCGTGAACAGTAGTAGCTGTGCTACAATACCATGAATAATGCCAAGTGGATTTTATGGCTGGAGATAAAGACAAACCTGTGAAGGAGAAGTAGTCGACATCGTCTTCGTTGGCACCTACATCCAATAGACATCCAATCACTACTACAAGGTTAGAGGTTGATAAATTCAATGACTCTAATAATTTTGGTATGTGGCAAGATGAAGTTATGGATGTGTTGTATCGACAAGAGCTGGATATGGTTTTGGAGGATAAACCAGAAGATATTGATGACAAGAAATGGACACGAATTAATCTTCATGATTGTGCCTCTATTCGATTGTTCCGTGGTAATGAGTTGAAATACCTGTATATGAAGGAAACTTCTGCTAAGAAGTTATGGATCAAATTGGAGGAGAAGTATACGACCAATAGTGCAGAAAATCGGCTCTTCTTTAAGAAGCGACTCTTCCGATTTCAATATCGTCCAGGTATTTCTATGCACGAACACCTCAATGATTATAATAAAATACTTGTTGATTTAGCAAACCTTGATGTGAAAATTACTGACGAGGATAAGGCACTATGTTTGTTAAATTCATTGCCTGATGATTATGATCATTTGACAACTACTTTGTTGTATGGAAAATCCGAGGTGAAACTTGACGAGGTGTCTGCGGCATTGGTGAATCATGAGTGTTGCAAAAAGGAACAGAAGACTCAAAATTCACAAACCGAGGCACTAGTTGCAAGAGGTTGAATAGAGGAAAGAAAATATGGGAAGTGGAGAAAATCTCTTTCAAAGTGGCGAGGGAAGTTTCCTACTAAAGACGAATGTGCATTTTGTCGCCAAAAGGGTCATTGGAAGAAAGTCTGCCCCAAATTAAAGAACAAAGAGAAGGAGAAAGCGGGTTCTGAAGCAAATATTGCAAAATATGGAGATGATGATTTCGAGTTTGCTTTGGCTAGTTCATTCGCTGATGGTCACTCAAAGGAGTGGATTTTGGATTCAGGTTGCACCTATCATATGTGTCCCATTCGAGAATGGTTTTCTAGCTTCGAGGAGGTGGATGGTGGAGTTGTTTTGATGGGCAATAATAATGCCTACGAAACACAAGGAATAGGCAAAATCTGGTTGAAGATGCATGATGGAAAGGTCAAAGAATTGAGTGATATTTGGTATGTGTCGGATATGAAGAAAAATCTTATCTCATTGGGCGAATTGGAAATATCACTATGGAGGGTAAAGTTCTTAAAGCTGTGTACAGGGCATTGGTGGTGATGAGAGGTACAAGACGAAATAACTTGTATTTCTTGCAGGGGAGTAAGTTATTGGTGGAGCAACTGTCACTGAAGCTGCTAACGCAGATAGCACAGATACTACAAGGTTATGGTATATGCATCTTGGGCATGCTGGGGAAAAAATGTTGCAAGGATTGGTGAATCAAGGCTTATTAAAAGGTGCAAAGGCATGCAAATTGGAATTCAGTGAACACTGTGTGTTGGGTAAGCAAACTAGAGTAAAATTTGGCACCGCTGTTCACCACACTAAAGGCATTCTTGATTATGTTCACACTGATGTTTGGGGACCTTCCAAGAATGCATCTTGGGGACGTAGCCATTATTTGTCTCCTTTGTTGATGACTTCTCTAGAAGAATATGGGTGTACACCATGAAGCGTAAAGATGAAGTCTTGAAGATATTCCTGAAGTGGAAAAATATGATTGAAACGCAAAGCGGTGGAAAGATCAAAACTCTCATATCAGACAATGGTGGCGAATATAAGTCTGAACCTTTCTTGAAAGTTTGTCAAGATGAGGGTATTGTGAGGCACTTCACGGTTAAGGAGACACCGCAACAAAATGGGGTAGCAGAGCGCATGAACCATACTTTGCTTGAGAAAGTCCGGTGAATGTTGTCTAATGCGGGTTTAGGCAAGGGTTTTGGGCTGAGGCGATTACTTATGCATGCCATCTTATTAATCGATTGCCGGCTACTGCGAACGAGGGCAAAACACCCATGGAGATATGGTTTGGTATACCTTGTACTGATTACAAGTATTCACATACATTTGGTTGTCCTGCTTACTATCGTGTTAGGGAAAGCAAGTTGGATCCAAGAGCAAAAAGAGCTCTATTTATGGGCTTTAGCATTGGCGTGAAGGGATACTCCTCAGAATTGAAGCTGCTTGCTTACTCCTCAGAATTGATGACATTGTAAGTGGGATCAAGAAGAAGCAGCCTCATGGTGCCAAAGCTCCTTCCAAGCCTCAAGTTGAGACAGAAGGTGATGCGGATAATGAGCAAATAATTTTCGATTGAGTATCGAGAGCAGTTGGGTCTCTCGGTGTGAATGAGGTTTTGCTTTAAAGAAAGAAAAAAAAAATAGAGCATTATAAGTTTGATGAGGATATTTATAATGTCACTTTAACTTGGTAGTGTGGTTTTGTCTCTCTTGTTTCTTTCTCAATCCAGGAGCGTTGGGGAAGAAGAGATGTCTTAATGGAGAATGCTATGTTAGTTTGACATGTCATCTATGTATCGAACACAATTTTTTGTTTCCTTATTTGGTTGGCACAAATGGGATGGGGGCTTATTTTCGACCATTGTGAATGACTATTAACAATTGAAAGTTATTGATAAAAATGCAATTTTCTCAAAGAAAGCAGAAGTTTGTCATGACCAAGCATCAATATTCATGATAAGCCATTGTAAAGATACACCAGAGCTTGCAAATAAAAGAACAGAACGTGCAGCAAGCCCAATGTACACTAACTCGTAGAGGCGAGATTCAATCTTGACCGTTATTTTTGACTCGGGGTGCAAGCATTCATCTTGGCCATTCATTAGGAGAGAGTTGAAGTTCAACTATATAATTGTCACCCTCATCTTAAACCAATCTGCCCTTTATTGATACAGTAATGAAAGAATATCAATACGTGGTATTCTTTTCAGATCTGCAATCTTACACCAATCTGTCTATATGTGACATTAAAAATCAAAATTGAGGGGCTAACCTTGCCGTTCTTCACGACATTGGAGTTTCAATGGAGTTGTACCGCAGAACTGATGGTGTTTCGGTGGAGTTGTCACAGCCTTAGGGTTTGCATATCTGATGGGGTTTACAAAGAAATTATGCGGAGGTCTGTGTAGAACATGTGAAATTTTAAGATGGGTTTATTATGTTATTTGAATAAAATGTGTGTGAAAATAAAATGTGTGTGTGATGGGTTTAGGTAAGTAAGGGTAAATTTAGGAAGAAGTGATGGGTGTAGAGAATAATTTTAGATTTCACTAAAACTTTACGGGGGTGTAAAGAGTGTGTGGGGTCAAATGAGAGGATTGTTGGGTTCAAATCAAATATGATAATTAATGTCCCACAAATCAATAACGTATTGGTTTTATACAAATCCATAATTTACCTTATTTATGTTTTAGGGGTATAATTGGAATAAAAAAATAATTAAATAAAATGTGAACATCAATAAATAAAAAAGGCATGTAATCTTATGTAGCGCAAAAGTCAAAGGACTTAGATCAACAACAGCTTCTACGTGGATTGCACCTAACATCTCTCATAAGAACTGGACTTATGCCAAATTTTCTATATTTTTAAATCAAGCATTCATCTTGGCCATTCATTAGGAGAGAGTTTGAAGTTCAGCTATATACTTGTCACCCTCATCTTAAACCAATCGGTTCTTATTGTCACAAAAAACTTACGACCTAACGCTTCAAGTCTTACATCTTACTTTACAGGATCAAAAACGTGTCACCTTTACACCTCTCCTTTCAAAACATTGGTATTGCTCTCTTATTTCCTTCTACCATCTCAATATTAAAGTTTGTTGGCCGATTGATATTTTGGGGAAAACCTGTCAAATAGGACTTTTAATGTAACATTGTTCTCAAATGGATCCATGATGTGGATATATCATCTTGATATGGTGTCAATACCAATCTATCTTTATCTGCAATCTTACAGCAAAAAGCAATGGCAGATCTATCTATGTCCAGAAAGAATCTGTCCGCAAGTATTTAAAGCCTAGCTAAAAGAATCTCTCAGCTTTTATTATTATTATTTTTTTTTGGGTCTGAAAGTATCTCTCACCTTAAGGACAGCATACCATTTTGATGTGTGAAGGGTAATCTTAAGGATTATTAGCAGTGGCGAAGCCAAGATTTTATGTGTGTGGGGGCCTCTTATAAATTATAAAGAATCAAAAATTCGAACTCATAATACATACGAAAAATAGTATATATATATATATATATATATATCACATATGTCAAGAATTATATTGCTTATTGGTTGCAATCATAATTGTCCTCGACAAAGGGATAGACAAATACATTTTGAGCAAGAAAAATTGCAGGAGATAGACAAAGAGTAGCGATTTTGCAAATATCTTTAAAGTTTTTCCCCCCATTAAATCCAATAGAAAGAAAAAATCAAAATTTCACAAACTAAAAAAATCCTTAGGTCCCTTCATGCATCATATCATACATGAAAAATGTTTTATGTAAAAATATTGACTAAGTATGAAAAATGGTTTTTCAGAATAATCATTTTCTCAAGATAATTTTTGGCGGCTTTTATTCCTTACACATCAAATAAGAAAACTTGATTTTATGGGATTTTAGTATGAAATATATATTGACATAATGAGCCATCATTTTTAGCCTAAATCGTTTTTTGCACTAAAACCAATTTTTCATATTTTGATTTGGTGGGAATTTGATTTTTTAGTATTTTTATTTGAATCCAAATAGGGGGTACTTCCTTATTTACATTGTAAACTTAAGTCAATGGAGTAATATAAAAATAAATGAAACTAAAAGGACAAAGACATTTACGTGTGGCTCCGCCCGTGATTATTAGTGTCACAAAAAAAGTTAGAGACAAAATGTGATAATTTCGCAAACTTCATAAACCATTTGTGATTAAAAACAAGCCTTACGTGTATCATTGGTGCCATTTGCCTTCTTTCGGGAAATATGTGATAAGTGTGATACATGTACTAGTGTTCTAATGTCAAATAATCTTAGATAATTGAATGATATTTATGTTGTTGAACTATGAATTAGAATTATTGTTGATTGTTCACCTTATGTTTACAAAACATGAATATTCGCCCAAATGTGTTTCCAAAACATAAATATTCGGCAATATAAACATGACAAGAAAATATTACTTAACACCTATTATTTATACAAGTAAGGGGGGAAATGGAGATATCTTCAGACAAGTTCATATGCCAGAAAATGAACTTGGTAGTGCTATAATGTAACCTTTCTTACCAAGTTCATGACATTCTTGCACTAGTAAAAAATCACTCTTGCGCGACCAAATTTTGCGCGATGAAAAATTATTCGTCGCTCAAAGTCACTTTTTGAGTGACAAAACAATAAACTTCGTCGCGCAAAGTCCTTATAAAAATAAATAAAATAAAATAAATTCTTTTTTAAAATCTTTGCATGGCGTAATCCAAACATTTCGTCGCCTAAACCAATTTATTTTTGTTTTTTATTTTGTATGCATAACACTTAAGAAATTAAACGGTATATATATTTTTATTAAGTAGCTTTAAATTTATTATTTTAGATCGGATCGGATTTTTGTTAGAAAAATATATTATTGTTGTTCGGATTGGGTTTTTGTTAGAAAATATATTTTTCAAATTGACGATCGAATTAGTTCATTGTATTCATATAGAGTCAAAGAGTGTAGCTGTAAAAAAATCATCAAAATCAGAGTTAAAATAACCGTTAAATCGTGATTTTTCATTTATAACTGTCGAAAAGTTTTGTCCCATTACTTGACCTCTGAATGTTTATTTTTTCCGATTTTTGGCGTATATGATCTCGAAGTATAAACAAACACGTTTGACGGTTGGATCGTTGAAACTAGTTTCGTAGAATGCGTATGCCATCAAAACAATATATTCACTAACAATTAAGAGTTTATTTATACTTTTGTTAAATATAACATAAGATTTTGTGGTATCCACTAGTGTAAATATTTTAAATTGAAGATCAAATTCAGTCATTGTATTCATATAGGGTAAAGGAGAGTAGTGGTAAAAAATCATCAAAATCGGAGTTAAAATAACTGTTAAATCATGATTTTTCATTTATAACCGTCGAAATTTTTTGTCCCGTAACTTGATCTTTGAACGTTTATTTTTTCCGATTTTTGGCGTATATGATCTCAAAGTATAAACAAACAAGTTTGACGGTTGGATCGTTGAAACTAGTTTCATAGAATGCGTATGCCATCAAAACAATATATTCACTAACAATTAAGAGTTTATTTGTACTTTTGTTAAAAATAACATAAAATTTTGTGGTATCCACTAGTGTAAATATTTTAAATTGAAGATCAAATTCAGTCATTGTATTCATATAGGGTAAAGGAGTGTAGCGGTAAAAAATCAACAAAATCGGAGTTAAAATAATCGTTAAATCATGATTTTTCATTTATAATCGTCGAAAAGTTTTGTCCCGTTACTTGATCTCTGAACGTTTATTTTTTCTGATTTTTGGCGTATATGATCTCAAAGTATAAACAAACAAGTTTGACGGTTGGATCGTTGAAACTAGTTTCGTAGAATGCGTTTGCCATCAAAACAATATGTTCACTAACAATTAAGAGTTTATTTATACTTTTGTTAAATATAACATAACACTACTACAAAAAGTGAAAAAGACGACCAGAAAAACACGACGGTCTAAGTGAAAACCGTCGTTGTTTTTTAAAAGACGACGGTTTTATAAAACCGCCGTGTAATAACACATTAGACAACTAAAAAATGGAGTTTCAAATGGTTGTTCCTAAAACACGACGTACGTAATTAAAAAACCGACGTCTTATTGAAATAGGATTTTCAAGAGGTAAAATCAAAGCCAACAA